ACTTGATGCAGTGATACGAGTGTTTCACTCCCTTTGTTTTCGGCTGTCATGCAAGACAAAAGAGAAGGGGAATGTCATGAGAGTGTGCCGTACAACATCATGCAACAGTAATTGTTTCGGCCGGATCCGGTGGAAGGCGAATTGCTTCCGTTCATTTGCGGGCCGTGCAAGTTATATATAGTCTTTGAACTTATTCAAATACATTCGTAGCTGTAATGAACGTTTTATTTTAAGTGGGCTTTAACAAAGGCGTGTCCAATCTTGACGACAATCTAAGCCCGCTCGCATGCCGTCAAACTTCACTACTAGCATTACTCCTTCTCTCGTTCGTCTGCATTTGCCAAGGTTGTCCATACTGTATAACTTCTGACACCATCGACATCGATGGTGGGTGCATCTCGTAGGTATGATCATGACTACTCCGAAGGTGGAACATAATTCGTGAGCCTAGGACGCTGTGAATGACAAGTTGTAACCTAAATGCAGTGAGTTCGTAGTCGGCAGTCGTAGTTCAACCAGTGACATACGCATCAAACATGTTTGTGTAGCCAAGCTGCAGCCAAGCAACAGAAATTAAGTCAATAAATGATTGGGGTTTAATTGGCATGCACACACACCGGAAATACTGCGTCAATAATCACATTGGTGACCGTGATGGCTTTGTGAAACGAATTACACAACAATAGCTTTGAAGTAAATGATTTCCACGCACCAATGATGCACAACATGTAAAGCATGCTACCGCCCGCCATAAACGGTGGTTATGATTGAGTTCTCAATTTGCCGGTAGTCGCTGAATTTCTTATACGTAGTGAGGGCCAGTATCACTGCCAAGTTTTTGCTCGTGGGTCAGAAGGCCGACGATACGCCCTACATAGTAACTGACCACATTCGAAAAGTGCCAGGATAGCATATACCAATGCAGCATTTCTTGACGACTCGAAGCCGCCTTGCCCGGGTAGAGTAGACACATCTGATAGCTATATTCAAACGACACGTGTTGGTAATACGAACGAACTCACCTGCTGAAATCAACTGGTGATTTGGAAAGACATTCATGGAAACGGCGGCGATTATTGTCACCTATTGCAAAGTTAAAGATCTATGCCCTTGCTCCAGCCCTGTGGAACACGCACCGCACCATAAGCTACTAATCCAATCAGCACCCTTTTGCTCTTTTTCCAGAATGCCCACGTCCGAATAACCAACAAGCCTATCAAAAAAGATGATCTACCCAGTCCCCGGTATGGGTGATATGAGCAACCCGCACCTTCTGCAGCAACGATACTTATGATATGAATGACTGAAGATCGCGTTGTCAGGTTGAGTGTCAATTAACCACCGGGCGTGACGACTTACTGTTTTTCTGCCAGACTAGGGGCCGGCTTTGCGTCATGCAATCAGCTTATCGTTAGAAGTCATTTCTTTCGCATGCTTACCGGCCCGCTGACACGCAGTGCAGCTACGATAACCGTCAACAATACTCAAAAGATAAGGATAATCAGAGTGGGTAACTCACCATATACAGTCATTCCAGAGCCTATGAAAGGCACATATCGAGATATGGCAAAAAATGACACGAGTTGTATCCCATGACCTAAACCAGGTCCATTTTACCTGTAGACAAGCGATGAAAATAACAGTCACGGGCAGATCGTTTCAATCTTGACCTCATCTTGGAATGTAACGCAGAAATCAAATATCTGAGACGCCGAACAGAGCCAATGATTGAGCTGGTATTGCAATGAATGGACTCGATGCTTACGAGAATTGCGAAGGCACCAACTGACGATACAACGTAGTCAGTCGCTGTCTCCTTCACGGCCGTACCAAGGGCACTTACTATTGGCAAACTAAATAAGAAATCAAGTTAGTAACGTCAAGTTTATCAAGCTGCGATCTTTGCATGCCTTGGATATCTGCAGATCCGCAACCTCCGAAAATGAAATAGAAGACATCTTAGAAACAAAAATAAAAACGTTTAGACCTGCCTGCAAGTCATAGAAGGACCAGCGTCGCCACAAACCCCACTTAAGTACGGTTGCCGACACACGTATGATCGAGCTTCCCACCCGATTCTGGAGACTCGTGATCATGGATGCAGCGCTCTTAGATCAATCTAGCACAGCACGTAAGAGGGCAAAAATAGAAACCTATTCGATACGCCTCATGATATGGTGATCGCGACAAGAATATTCGTTCACTAGCGCTGTGCAGTCCGATGTATAGTGTTAATGACACTGATGTTATGAGAAACTTTATTATCGGATTCAACTGTGTTTTTTTATATGACTCGTACCTTGAGCCGTTTTCCCAAGGTGCTTGGCCAGGCTTATATCCTGACACCCACGTTGCACCAGTTTTGGTTTGTTCGGATTGTAGCAGGTTATCGGAACTCTGCCACGTATTTCAATTGTAGGACTTTGCAATCATCCAAAACATATAGCGAGGACCATCTGATACGATACCAAAAATGCAACTGGAATCAACTGACCACAAATTTGCTAAAGAGCTTTGGCAGCCGCCATGACATGCAAAAGATTGATACTTAGATGGGTCAGATCTTTCCGGTCCGTCAGCAAAAGGCCAGGTCCGACCGGCTGGATGACGAGCATCGCCTGATGCGGCAACAATTGGGTTCGAACTTCGAATTTGTTCATCCTTGCGGCGGCCAGTAACCAGTGAAGTGCGATGTACCCAGTGATATCGGCAGCATTACTTACAGCTTCTGTCTTAATGCAGTATTGCATGTATCATCGATGAGTATTGGTGTTTGAGTGCATCAACATGGCAATATGAACTGATGTTTGTATCTGTGAATCAAAATATGGGACGTAGGCATCAAGTTGAGCGGACGAACGGTAGTTCTGCCTGGAGTAGACTTTTGACCTGAACGCGGACCAGTTCGCGATCTGGACAGATTCTATGTATGCACATCAGCCATTTCTGATGTCCTCCACCAACAGCTGTGTATCAATCCATCATTGCATCCGGCCAAAACTCCTATGGGAATCCAGCGAATGTGCGATCACGTCAAACCTGATGGAGGGAATACGCACACACATGTTTTTCTATCATTGGGTTCTCTGGGATGATATACCGAATTGATACTATGTTCGCAGTGGCGTAGTGAGTGGATCTTGTCATCTACATCCAAAAAAGGGGCTGAAATGAAACTCGACTGCCGTCACTGATAAACCTCTATGTGAAGAACCGTAACACGGATGTCAAAACCCTAGGCATAGCCATTGATCTTGTACGTATGAAGCTGGATACTTACTGTTGCTGGTCCACCTGTCCCACATAGAAGCAACGACTGTCTTCCTTCTGTTATGGTCCGACTAGGGGAGATTAACTTGTCCCTCCGCATAAAGCCAATTCATCCTATTTAGATGTCGATAATGATGTTGTGGGCTGCAAGAATAGGTCTGTTTGGTATCGACAGACAACGAATTTCCTTCTCCATAATAGCCTGACTTTTTGATGAATACCCGCTGCACAAGAAGAACTGACAATAGTACTAAGTAGGACGGGGTACTGTGTAGCGGTTTTGAGTCATGACGCGGTGCAGTCGTGACGGGCCTGTGACGTAGCGTGACTCACGTACTCACATGTGACGCGGCATCGACGCACTGACGTGCTGGACCCTAGTGCCACAAGCGTTCCTATGTTCTACAATATTCGACTCCTAGATCAAGTTGCACTTCTGCCAAGTTTTGCCACCCTCCATTCGCGTGAGTTTCGCCGAGGACCGGGCGCAACCAGTTTTGCCAACAACACCAGGACTCGACGACGACGGTGGATCGATCATTTTCATATAAGTTGAAACATCCACATTGCTCGAGCAGTACGAAAATTTAAGCAAAAGAAAATGTGCTGGTCGACTTCGAACTAGGCATTACACCATCAACCATTCATGGTCCATGATACCAAAGCAAAAGCAGAAACATGACTCACATTCGCGACGCGCCCCTCAGGCTGCCGGCTCAATATCAATTTTCAAACGGCCCCGACTGGCAGGTGAAACCTCCATTCTTGAGTTATGTGATTGAATCCTGGTTACACAGCGACCTGCTCATACTCACGCCATCAGGTCTACAATGCATCTTGTACAAGTTTTGGCAGCAATCTTTATCTATTTTGCAAGGTTGTGTCTCAGTCTGGCATGCACTGACGGACATATATGTTGTCAAAGCAATAACGGCAAGGGGGGAGAACGCATTTCTGTGCAAGGTGATATGGAATTTTCTGAGGGTGACCCCGAATAATATCTCTGAGGATGCGGGAACACTGTAAGACGACGACCAGCTTTTATATCCTGTATATACTAATGGACACAATATGGAAGAATTGTTACTGCTATTAGACGGCAGAAATCCGGCAGAACCTGCAGGATCGTGTTCAATTGATTATGACCATTGTATCATAACCTGCTGGCAGGCATCGACAATTCTCGTCTTCTTCATTACCCAGAACGCTCGCTCGAATCCTCAGTCTCTCATCCCAATCTTTCGCCCTCATTTGAATCTCCAGTGACCTTGCACAGCGATAAGGTTGAGAGGTTGATTGCTTATTCTCGTCAATGCTTCCGATATGTACTCGATCGATATCTCACATCATTTTTCTCACGACGGCCAGGTCTTATATCCTGCACATACTTATAGGCGCGATTCTGATCGATTTGGCAGAATCGCCTTGCTGTCAGACGGCACAATTCTAGGCAGAACCTGCAAGAGCTTATCAAATTGACTATGACTATTGTGTCAACCCCAATTTCTCACTCATTGCTTCGTCAGTTGAACCTGACCCTGCGCAGCGACGAAGGATGCTCATCCTCGTCGATGCGTGCGATATAGACTCGGTCGATATCTCATGTCATTTTTCTCTCACTTACTCGTTGCTCCCAGGCTTCTATGTAGTACCTGCAATTCGCTATGCCGAATATTGGTACAACTGTGGCGTAGGTATTTGATACTCATTCTCATTCTTGGCATGCGCTTGGTCGAATATTCCTAGTACTTGTTGTGGTCCAGCATTCAGTCCTCTAAAGTTTTAGACAATAATATCAAGCTATTCCAAGGCATGCCCCGATGACCCTGTACTTTCTCGGAGACAAGGAACAGCGTTGTAAAAACTAGTGACTATCAACCGTCCCTCGCACCCCATCCACTACCACTCTCGAGCTCCCACACTACCCTGTGATAGAAAGTACTGTGCAAGATCTTTTTCACTTTCATCATAATGCGCGCTCCTGTACGACCTTAGAGTGGGCTTCGACTATCTGGTAATAGCAGAAAACAACACGCGACGACACGGCATCTCGTTGGCTCCATCAAGAGAGATCCATGAGCTAGCCTTCGGGGCCAACGTTAGACAAACAGATTCAACCTGCGCAGTGCGTTCCATCTTCATACAGCCTCCTAATATTAATCATCAACAGCAACATAAACGATTGCTCGTCCCAAAAGCCATTCCAGGATCTCAAACACCATCACTCATAACCAACCACCCGGTTCTTTGTTCTTGATCAGCAGATATACAATTAGTATCCACACATCTCAATAGACGGGTACAAAATATGCGCACACAGAATAAACGCGCAACCCGAGTGCATGCAGCGCGTATAGTACATCAACGACCAACACTGGGAGCTTGGTACAACGTGTGGTGCAGTAAGGAGCGTGCGTGCGTGCACGAAGGAAGACGCGCATGGACCTGAGAAATATGAAAACACGCGTAGTATGTGGTATATACTATTTGAGACACGCAATGTATGTTCTGGGACGATCCTCAACAGGGTCGTTCCATCTAGAAAGTAAGAGGCACACACCAATTCAAACTCGGAATTAAGCGAATCCCGATCCGAGTACATGATCCTTACTCGAAGAATAACCTGAAGAGTAACAATAAGAACAAGTTAACATCGCGCGCGAGATGGAATCCAACATTCAACAAAACGCAGCTCTTCGCGCACACCCACCCACTCACCTATACAAATAAGCAACCATATGCTCCCGCCTCGAATACAAACTCCACTCCTTCGCCCTCCTCGTAATGTACTTCACGAGGTCTTCATGTGCACCGTGCCCGCGGAAGAAGAGGAGCGCGTCATACAGGTCAGTAGTCGACTTGGAGGTGTAGTGCATCTAGTGGGCGAGCCGGTGGGTGAACCTTTTCGTCTGGGGATTGTTGACTTTGGATTGGGTTGGGGGATTCTGTTGGGTGGATGGGTGGAAAGAAAGAAAAATATTAAAACACGAGAAGAAAGGAAAGGAAACTCACCATTCAGGATACAACGTAGACTTGAACACAACTGAATTACTCGTTATGAGCCTCTTGAACCGACTGGACCGGCCGTTCCCGTCCACCTGCTAATGCGTAAAACCCACACCTAGCAACGCAACGACAAGGAAAGGAAAAAAGACAGCTCATAACAAGGTCTCAGCCTCCCTAACGCCATCCTTCACCTCCATTCCCACCCTTCCTCCACCTCCTTACACACCTCCACACACTGACCCAGCAAACGTTATATCCATCATTGCAAGTTTCACAATTAATTTTCCGAGGGTCTGTGATATGATGCCGTCGGGAGATGAAGGGTCGGTGAGGAGGACATCTGTCGGAAAGAGGGTTTAAAGGGAGGAGGGGAACGTACCATCTATCGAAGCCGGGTGGAGGTGCTCTTGAGTATCTGCACCGTGCGGTAATGTTCACGGACTGCTTCGGGTAGTGTTTTACTGGGGCGTGTGAGTTTTGGGTCTCATTCTTTTTCTGCGCATCAGGCGGAGGATGGGGACGGAAAATGTGGGAGGGGCGTTGAATCTTTGACGCGGTCCTGCCGCAGTTGTGACGCGCCTGGGACGTGGTGTGACACAGCATTGACGCGGCACTGAAGTACTGACGTAACCACTTACATGCATAAATAAAAAACTGTTACTCGCCCCTGAAGATACGGATATTTTTGAGTTCTTGTGTGGTGTTTCAAAGAAATGCACTTGATAGAACGGGTAATAGACCACCGAAGCTCGGCTCAGTACGCACATTCAGTCGAGGAAGGCGTCATGAAAAACATATAAAGACAAGTAGCGTGATGTACGGAAATAACAGCCAGAAACACTGACATTACAGACGAAAAATCACCTAAACCTGGCCCCGGTCAGGTCCCTAGCAGCATATATGTGCAGACTCCATCCATGGATGTAGGCACAAGTTATGGGCCGAAAATCGTTCTTCTGGATCCAAGTACAAACACGCATGGATGAACGCGGCAGCGGCTTCTGATTCCGGTAAACTGCAATCTATCATTGATTGATCGACGCGCAGTACCTAGCCTGAGATGAGCAAACCATTTTCAATGGAAATGAAGCGGGCGCCATAAGGAAAGGTGCACTGACCGCTCTCAGCAAAATCCTCATTATGCTTCGGAGACCTCGTGAGGAGCTTTTCAGAGAAACATTCCCCTGTCAGCTGCGCCTCTCGGCCAAATGGTCATCCTCAATACTCCAAGGTTGGCCTCATTGTGAAAGGAACAGCGAACTTCCGGTGAGAAGCTCGAAAGTCTACATGAAACACATACATATAAGACCTATATGAACATGACTGTCAGAAAAACGAACATACCATGCAGCCGAGCGCCCACACATCCACCTTGGCACCATAGTTGGCCTCGAGGATATGTTCTGGAGCATGCAAGTCATATGAACTTGTGGTTCTCGTCGGAGGTTTTCCATTGGTCCATTGCGCTGCAAGGAGACATTATATATGAGTCGATGATTGATAGGAGATACAAAGATAACGCTTGCCATTCTGGAAATCCGTCACATAAGCCGTGTACAATTCTATCATGATACCGCGGTCGTTCCATCGAAGAGGATGAGCAATAGGCTGCGATCGCATGATGGGATGATGCACGCCATTCAATTCAAATTCACCGTTGACGATCTGATGAGCCTGGACGAGAAGCTCCTGAATAATCTGCGTGACGTTCCCCTCGTCAAACAGCACGTTGTCCGGCTTGAGATCTGTTTCAGAAAAAAGATGAATATTTAATGTTAGTATGATACCTATGCGTTGGTGTTTTCCGACCTGCGTGTATGATATTTGCGGCATGCAGTAGAGTCAAGGCTTCCAAGACTTCAGCAATCATAATTTTGACTTTCACCGGGTCCAGCGATTTCGAGGCGCCGAATACCTAAAGCTATTCACGCTTTCACAAAGAGCAGGGAGAACGAGGCAGAGACGTTGGTCATGAGGTCCATTTATCTCAAAATGGTCACGGAGGCGATGCAGAAAGGATATCCTGGTCGATTGTGTGATAGTTTGCATGACTTGCAACTCGAGCAGACGACCATCATGATGAGGTTTGGTATCATGAACGGTGAGAATTTTGATGGCACAGTATCTTAGCATCTCCTCCATTGATAGAACGAACGTGAGAATTCAGTGCTCGGTGATACAACTAGACCTACGAAAAATCTGAAGCCAACCAAGTACAGGAAAGTTTCCCTCTCCCCAGCTTCCTGAGATTTGTATAGCGAGAGTTGTTGAGCTGCATCCCAAGGCGAGCGGAAAAAAATACGGCACCCTGTTCTCCAGATAGAGTGAGTGATTCTTCAGGAAACAGGTCGTCAGCCGAATGTGGCATATCTGAACACACTTGTACTTGACTTGTAAAACAAATGGCGAGGTATAGCAAGTGGGCCAAATACCCTGTAGTCAAAGGGGCATGTTGTTGTTTATTCGGAAGAAAATGAGCAATGTCCGTGTTATGCAGATTACGTGAAGAGGCGGACATTGTTGATGACGGACTCGAATTGACCTTGAAACATGCTTTCGCAAGGTAATCCATGTCCTCGATAGGCTGACAGTTCTTTTAGCGTGTTAGCTTGTGTTAGTTTCGTTTCGTTTCTTACACTATCTCGTTATCTTGATCACCATCGACACCATACTTCTGCGCCTCATGGCACTTCTCGATTCTCCGGTGTTACGTTACCTAAGTATTTTCGTTAGTACTTACATCGTCGCGCCTCTTGTTGATACCTCAGTCCCAGTGAAGACTGGTCCTTACCGGAGAGGGCCGAAGATGTCACATGTAAGTATGGGTTTTCGCAGAACACAACCCTGAATCTCACCTCGAGTTGTTCTCTAGGGGATGGAGCCGTGAGGTGAGTGGTCTGACATGGTAGTACAGTCTGTACAGGGACTGCAAGGTAGGATCGAGACTTGACACAATACTTCACACTGCGTCTGAAAACCAATATTATAGTATCAATGATTAGAGGCAATACAAGACAAAGCCGAGTAGCACGGATGCGGAGGGCAAGCATTGTAAATATGGTGAGAAGTGAATGCAACACTCCAGGGCCTGTACGCAGATGGATATTCATGTTGGATCATTAACGAGGGTTCAAAGTGTTTGGAATTCATTTCGACGACATAAGATGGCGTCTGAACATGACCTGTACCCTAGGATATGTGACAGTACTAATGCCGCGTCAATTTCACTTGGCCTAGTAGGACGCACGGAAAATTGAGCATCCACTTTGGGGAAGCATGTTCCCACTTGAGGAACCAGTGACAAGGAGGACCTGGAGACGACCTTACGAGAGAGAACCTTGATGTTAAAGTTGCGAGTAGTCAACAGTCCAGAGAACCATTAATGAAGGCCATTTCATGAGAGACTGCGGGGTTTCAATAGGCTATCAATATATCAATAGCTGTAGGTGAAGTTATCGCTATGCACCCACGAAGAAGCCTGTTGTTCAGTACTCACCGTCCGCACTATCGAGAAGCAGCGAGGGCCATGTTGTACCTTCCGCCAACCATATAGCGTAAAGATTGCACATTAAACTAGAAGAAAACATTAGTAGACGTTGATTGAAAACACCCCATTAATGGGCCACTCAGCCTTGACTAGGCCATGCTTGTATCAGCATGCCGGGTGAATGGTAAACACTATTACATCCCGGGCCGCAGTGCACAGTACGTCAGGTTGCCTGCGTGTATCAACGTGTGCTGAAAATAACCACTGCGATTGGAAACCCTTGCGGATGTTGATGAACACGTTACAACCGCGTTGAGGGCCGTCACGACAGTAGTACCGTACTTGCCAAAACAATCGAATTGAGGAGCTCGTGGGACCTACGTTGGCGAAGGTTGTCGACGACTTTTGAACTCTCCGCTTCACTGCTAACAACGTGTTTATTCCAAATCTCACCTGTTCGGTTTATATTGGAGGTGATTGGGGTCCTGATTACATACCAGGCCAAAATTGGTGTGGACGGCGGCACCGCATAGCTCTGCTTGCTGCGAACGATACAAGCTACTAATCAGCCGTCTTTCCACCTTTCGTTCATTTCCCAAATTTCTCTCCTGCCGTGCTGGTTCTCGGTCCTAGGATCCTTTCACGATACCCTTGGTCACTAATTCACCATCTCAATGTCTTTATTCAAGCGGCATCCGCCGCCCTCCGACATTGACGAGAATGATACCATAGACCCACAACTCCGTCTCCGCACAGTGCGCACAGCAGCTTCTACTCTTTCAGAATCCATACGCTCAGAAATTAAAGCGCACAAGAGGCGGAGTATCACCCAGAAGAGATCCTTGTTTTTTCGCAAGAATGCAAAGAAACCAAAGACTTCAGAACCAGGCCCATCAACGGTCCAATCAGCTGAGGCCCCCTCAGCCCCGCAATCGCGCATTCCAGGCGTGCGGAGGAACATATACGTTAATCAACCACTCTCTGCCATGGAGTCAGACCAGCATGGCGAACCGCTCGCCCGGTATGCACGAAACAAAGTTCGCACAAGCAGTATGTTTCATATTTCGATTTCAGTCCCGCTTTTGAGTGTAATTTTGCTCATAGGGTACACACTGTTGACTTTTCTGCCAAAGAACTTGTTTGAACAATTTCATCGGTACGTGTTACTGTCGATGACATAGTAACCTCATTGATTGCCCCTAGAATTGCCAATATTTACTTTTTAGCGCTCGTCATTTTTCAATGTAAGTGCACCTCATGCGGTTAACCGGAGCAACGCCTTGTGGAGCAACAATTTCTAATGAAACTTGCGCAGTTTTCTCCGTTTTCGGCGCAGCGTCGCCACAGACTGCGGCTCTCCCGCTGTTGTTCATCTTGGTCGTTACAGCAGTCAAGGACGGTGTCGAGGATTATAGACGAGCCAGGCTGGATGAAGAAGTGAACACTTCCGCAGTAACACGACTCGGGCAGTGGCGCAACGTAAATCAGGCTCTTGATCCCCGACCATGGTACGAACGGCTGCTCCACATAAATGCTCCTGGAAAAATTACTCGTGGAGTGCAGAAATTACGGGAGAAAGAAGCAGGCGAGGGAAAGCAGATCATCTTGAGCAAGGGTGGTGAGGATGGGGTCAGCATGAGCACCGCAGACATGAACGATAGCATTGCACCCCTGGGCGGATCTCACCCCCCTACAGGGGCAAGTGGCCGGCAACTGGAGGATATTGAAAGTAGTACAGGCAGCACGGATTTGCATACCTACCCTCCAGGGCTCCCAGAAAACGAGCTCAGAGGATGGGACCAGCACAGTATGTCCCTATCAAACTATATGCAGTCGTCTCCTTCACGGTCATCTCTGGGCGTGGTAGATTGGAGCAGGCGCACAAACGGGACAGCCCGCTGGGAGAGGACGTTGTGGAAGAAGCTGGAGGTCGGCGACATTGTGCTTCTACGGGAAGATGAGCAGGTTCCTGCAGATATCGTCGTATTGTCGACATCTGATGCAGACGGACTGTGCTATCTTGAAACCAAGAATCTTGACGGCGAAACAAATCTCAAGGTACGGAAGGCAATACAGGCTACGGCATCCCTCAGCTCAGAAGAAGACATCGAAAAATCCTCGTTTGTCCTCGATTCAGAACCTCCGCACCAGAACTTGTATCTATACAATGGGGTCCTCCGATATACAGACGCTGCCACGCGCGAACCTCGTAGAGAGGGTGTCACTATCAACGAGCTGCTCCTTCGCGGCTGCACCGTGCGGAACACCGCATGGATCATCGGACTAGTCGTCTTCACTGGTCAGGACACCAAGATATACTTGAACGGTGGACAGACCCCGTCCAAGCAATCGAAGATTGCGAAGGAGACAAACTTCAATGTCATAGTGAATTTCGTGTTCTTGGTCATCATCTGTTCGATATCAGCGACCATCAACGGCGTCATGGATGGGCTAACAGCCACAAGCACATATATATATGAGCAAGGCGTCCAACCGACTAGTTCCAATGTACTCAACGCACTCGTTACTTTCGTGTATGTCCTTGTAACGTCACCTGAACGCTCGCTAATATTCTTTCAGATCGTGTCTCATCGCGTTTCAGAACATCGTGCCAGTCTCCCTGTTCATCTCTATCGAGATCGTGAAGACCATCCAAGCCTACTTCATTGCTCAAGATTTGGACATGTACTACAAGCCCTTCAACACCGCCTGCGTCCCAAAGAACTGGGGTATCTCTGACGATCTCGGACAAATCGAATATATATTTTCCGACAAGACCGGAACGCTGACACAAAACGTGATGGAGTTCCAAAAATGCTCGGTGCGCGGGGTCATATATGGAGAGGGAGTTACTGAAGCGCAGCGCGGAGCTGCAACGAGAGAAGGCCGGGCTGATGCAGTAGCACCAGAAGAGCTAGCAGAAAAGCTTGCAGTGCTTAAGGACACCATGGTCACCAAGCTGACCAAGCTATTCAAGAACCGCTACATGCAGGTTGACAAACTTACGCTAGTGTCACCCAAGCTCGCAGAGGACCTCGCAGACCGCTCGACGGAACAATATTTCCACATTGTCGCGTTTTTCCGTGCCTTGGCCGTGTGCCACTCAGTGTTGGCGGATAGGTCCGAGCCGCAGGAGCGCCCTTACCGCTTGGAGTATAAGGCTGAGTCCCCCGATGAGGCGGCGTTGGTTGCTGCTGCGCGGGATGTGGGCTTTCCTTTTGTCGGCAAGCACAAGGACACGATTGACATTGAAGTACTTGGCCAACCTGAGCGGTTCACGCATTTGAAGACGCTCGAGTTCACTAGCACACGTAAGCGCATGAGCGTTATCGTTCGGGCATCAGATGGACGCATAGTCTTGTACTGCAAGGGGGCCGACAGTGTCATATACGAACGACTTGCTGCGGATGTGGACCCTGCTTTGAAGGAGAAGACAACCAAGGACATGGACTTTTTTGCCAATGGTGGTTTGCGCACGCTCTGCATTGGTTATAGGGTGCTCGCGGAGGATGAGTTCTTGAGGTGGCTGCGGACGTATGAAGCTGCTCAGTCGACTATCGACGACCGCGACGAGGCCATTGAAAATGCAGCGGCCGAGGTGGAACACTCGTTGCAGATACTGGGCGCTACAGCTCTTGAGGATAAGCTACAAGAAGGAGTACCGGAAGCCATTGAAATGCTCCATCGCGCTGGAATTAAGCTTTGGATTCTCACAGGCGACAAGCTGCAGACCGCAATCGAGATTGGTGAGTGGGGCTCTTCATGTCGCCACAACTGGATCTTATCGTTCCCCAGGTTTCAGCTGCAACCTTCTGAAACAAGATATGGAAATCATGATCCTGTCTGCTGACAGCCCGGAAGGCACTCTTGCTCAGATAGAAGCGGGTCTCAACAAGATTGCGTCGATGTTGGGCCCGCCTACTTCGAAAACAATGGAACGCGGGTTTGTCTCTGGTGCTCAGGTTTCCTTTGCGGTCGTTATTGATGGTGACACCCTACGTCACGCGTTGACGCCGGATATCAAGCCTTTGTTCCTGAACCTTGGTACCCAATGCGAAACAGTCGTATGTTGTCGTGTCTCCCCTGCCCAGAAGGCGTTGACCGTGAAGCTGGTGAGTATACCGTCACTTCCTGAGGTACTCTACTGACCTTGAGTTCGGTGTCAAGGTCAAGGAGGGTCGGAAGGCAATGACGTTGTCCATAGGAGATGGTGCTAATGACGTCGCAATGATTCAAGAAGCCAATGTTGGTTGTGGTCTGCTTGGACACGAAGGTTCACAAGCTGCTATGTCTGCCGATTATGCCTTTGGTCAATTCAGGTTTTTGACGAAGTTGCTACTCGTCCATGGGAGGTGGTCGTACCAGCGTATTGCTGATATGCACAGTAATTTCTTCTACAAGGTTTGTTGTGCGATTTTGTTTGATTGTGCCTGCTGTTAATTCGTCACTTCAGAATGTCATCTGGACGTTAGCCATGTTTTGGTTTATGCCGTTTTGCTAGTGAGTTTCGTTCTTTGGTTTGTATGCACTAATTAACAATACTTTTGAAAGCTTCGACGCAACCTATTTATATGACTACAGCTTCATTTTATTTTACAATCTCATCTTTACCTCACTGCCTGTCATTGTTCTCGGATGTGAGCCTTTGTTTATTGGTTACTGGGTCCCACTCAACCGTTTGTTTCAGCATTCGATCAAGATATCAATGCAAAAGCTGCCCTTGCTTTCCCTCAGCTCTATGTTCGTGGCATCAGAGGCTTGGAGTACACGCGCACGAAGTTCTGGTTCTACATGCTCGATGGTCTTTACCAGTCTGCGGTGGTCTTCTTCATTCCCTATTTGGTCTGGCAGCTTGGACTGGCCGTGTCGTCCAATGGCAAAGGGATTGACTCTCTAGCGGACTTCGGGACAACCGTTGCGGTTGCTGCTATCTTTGCAGCGAATACATATGTCGGGATGAACACCCACTAGTACGTCTGCTTTGTCGTGGTGGTTTGATAACGCTAAATGTTGTTTATCTTAGCTGGACCTCTATCACCTGGGTCGTCGGCATCGGATCATCTCTTGTCATGATCCTTTGGATCGTGATCTATTCGTTCTTTCCGGTCAACACCTTCTTCTCTAATACAGATGGATTTATAGACGAGGTAGATATTCTCTTCTCCAATGTCACGTTTTGGGCGACAATTGTTTTCTCCGTTTTGGTGGCACTGGGTGAGTCGAAATGGTGTCCCTGTAGACTCGTCCTAACTAGTAATCGATTAGCGCCTCGGTTCCTCATCAAGTTCTTTAAGTCGACGTATATGCCCTTGGATAAAGACATTATTCGCGAGATGTGGGTAGGAGGGGATCTCAAGGATCGTCTGGGAATCCGCCATCGCAAGGAATCGAAGAACAAACATGTTGACCTTGAGACTGCACCCATGTTCCGCGAACCTCATGCTCGTTCAGCGTCGGAACTAGTTCTGCAGCAAGGTTACGAACCGACGGTTCCAAGATCCCCCGCAGATTCTGATAGCAAGAATCCTGACGATAACCGCGCAGATGCTATCGAGCTGGTCCCTCAGGCCGCGTTACCAAATCCTCACCACGCGGAGGATGCTGTCTCACCCAATACCTCTTACTACTCGGCATCCGATATCCCCCTGCCCTCACCCATACCACCCTCACTATATCAATATCCATCAGGAGAAATAAGCAGCCAAGCACCATTTGTCGCGCCGTCGAGCTCACGCTCCCTGAGCCCTGAGCCTGCTGTTCCTAAATTAGCTTACTCACACCCCTCGCGTGATTGGTCCCCATCCCCTTCGCGTCTGCAGACTCCTCCGCACCCTCATTCCTTGGCACCTGGCCAACAACCTCTTGTTCAGCTCCAACCAGAGGGACTTCATGATCACGATGCTGGCGAAGGTCGCTATCGACCAAAAGGATCTGATCAAGAAGATCAGGCAAACGACTCACTGGCGTGGGACGAGCCGCGGGTTTTCTGAGGTCTATTTGGTTTCTGCCGGATGTCGATGTATCATAGGAGAGACGTTGTGAAACTATTGTACTCACTCTTGCTTTCGTTCTGACTTACCTACATCTTATTGCAACGCTCTCGTGCATTTCGGATGGATCCTCAAGCTTTTTTGGTACCATTTCGTATTTACATGGACTCGTGGTTGGTACCGAGATGCCCATCCATATCTATTGTCTTACACTTTTTTGATCTCAAGCTCAAAACTTTTAACATTAATTTTCTAATGGACCTGCCAACATCAGCATCCCATGGCCCTCGAAGATCAACTCATGATGGACTTCATGACACTGGAGATATTGCAGTTTCGACATGTTTTCAAGGGCACCTGTGTGGAACTACTCTTCTGGGTATTTGTATTGGATCGTATGTTAACTTGTGACAAATCATACGCGCCAAAACGGAGTTGTCCTGAGACGAAGACCCCAGAATCATCAAGAGCGACGACGGCTTTTGAACTAGTGGGTCACGGTGACTGTATAGTATATCTTCAAGGTATGCTTTCATCCAATTGAGTACTGTAATGCCGCCGTCGACGGCAACACTCAGAGAGACGAGCAGTAACTGGACTGTTCAGGAGTTCCTGGCTCCTACAGTAGTTCTCTTCTACCGAGCAGATTGGTCCCAGTATCTTCAAGTTGAAGACTGTTCTCCAAACCACAAAAAGTCCATCGGTCCTCCTCAACTCTTTGAGAGCTGTAAATTCAGCAGCAACGTCGTCAGGCGAGATACTCTCTAGACCAGCAAAAACGCCACCTGCATCACGAGGCTCCGAGTCGGTCGAGAGCCGCGGAGGTGCCCATGCGAAGAATGCTTCAAGATCCTGTGCAGTCTTGACAGCAATGTCGAAATTTTCATTGATCAGTGATGCAAGGGGGCGTCCTCCAGCGTGGGTCATCTTCCTTTAGGGACATTGGTTTTCATGTTCTATTGAATTCAAACTAGTCAGTACTGTGGTGCTATCAGATCTAAATTACATCTCCGCGAGTTTTGGATACCCTTCGCGTGAGTTCTGCCCACGTGGGCCAGGCACAGCCAGTTTTGCCAGACCAGTTGGTAAAACTCCCGAGTTCTGCCAACAACGCTAGAACTACGATACAGCCATACTTAATCACGGGCTGATATTGACCTTGGGTACAAGGTGATGATTTTATCCTTCAGAAAGGTGTCCCGCGATGCTGGACGTCGCTTGAAATTCAACAAGGTTTTATACCCTTGAATAAACCTCGATTCAGATCTGTAAGAGAATAAGTCACTTTTGCCATATTCGAATCGGACTCATACCTGCTATATCCGCTGACATAAGCTACGTCCTTCATGTCGTGAACGCTTTCGAACCATTTCAATTTCTGATCAATGTCATGTCACGATTCGCGACACTTCAGATTGACAACACACGTATAATTCTGACACCAGTGAGCTCAGGCATAGAATGGAGTCGTGACCAAATGTCATCGAACAGGCTGCATCCTTGAATCCATTGATCACTCCCGCTTTCAAATCATCATTTAGCACCACATCATTAATAAGTAGGTGCTATGTTAGAAGACGTTGCTCAATTCAAAAACTTTCCAGGTTCACCGGCTACTTCAGCGAAGTGGTTCGATTCGCATACTTTATCATAGTGTCGGTGGTCCCAGGCAAGTATGCATAACTCGTGTTCTACAATTGTATTACTTACTGTAACCGCATGACCTCGCACTTGAACGCCAAGTTGAATGTGGCGAACTTCCCTTATCGCAGTACCTAGATAAGATTTTTAATAGTTATCTCACCCACTCATTCTGCTGAAATTCTTCGGTTCCGCAGACCGTTTTTCGGATAGGCTGAGGTAAGATCAAACCCTGATATCCTCTTGGCGCTCATTTGGTAATCCCTTGGTTAAGAAATTTCTCCGAGGTTCAACGGCCATCATCTTTGAACAAAACGAATATCCCGGTGATGTAATCATGAGAATTGATCCCCACATGAATTCGCAATGCCTTGGGATGATTATTCGGGTATGCAAAGTCGCACCACTATAGTCCTCATATTTAGTCTGCTCTTGCCTCTTCTTCTGCCTGAATCCAGACCCCTTCATTGCGACTTAGGATGTCTTCTGATTTATCCGAAGCTGATATAACCGCGCTCGTGTACGAAGATGAAACCTACCCTGAACAAGTGTGGTATACTATCGCTGCGTTTCTCTTCGTAGTCGGCTGCTTCCAGTGGGGGTCACTCGTTCACTCCAAATTCGCCAGGCGCAGACGCTACGAGTCCGACGAGGAAACGGCCACCACCGATGGCATTCAATACAAATTTTCTCTCCGTCGCATCCCACTTGCAATCATAAATTTCTATCGCGTTGTTGCCTTCCGGTGGACCCTAGAAATAGGACAATCTATACCCTTAACATGGCAGAGGTTTTTGTGACTGTGGCATATATCGCCCTTTTGTTGATCTACGCCTTCATCAATAGTAAGCTCACACGATTGTGTACGGTCCCACTCCCACCTGCATTAACCACTAAATCACGCAGCAACGTCAGTCGAGGGTCAGAAGCTTGATATCATCTACTGGAGCAACCGCATAGCGATGCTGGCGTCCAGTCAGTTTCCCATTATCACGGCCCTTGGCACAAAGAACAATATCGTGTCTTGTAGGTGGAAAAGCTCTGAATCTGATGTGTCGCTGAGTTTTTCGCATCAGTGGTCACAGGCATCAGCTACGATAGGGTACGGCGCTTGATTACTCTCCGCGGGGGACTTACTGATGGATATGAAGCTCAATTATATTCATCGAATGATGGCTAGGACATGCTTCATGCTCCTTTGGGTACATGCGGCGGGTGAAGTTGTATGTTTTCCCTAGTACGTACCTCCAATTCATGCTTGTGCTGTTCTAATTGAGTTTACCGAAAGCTTCCGGGAGACTTTGAACGAGGACTGGCTCCGCGTCGGTATCGTCGCCATGGTTGCCTTCTCTATTCTGATCATAGTATCACTGCGTCCCGTTCGCAGTGAAGTGTACGAGGTTTTCTTTTACGTTCATTTCCTTGGCGTCCTGTGAGTGTAGGACTTCTGCTCGCTTGTAACTGCTATTGATAGATAGAACGCAGGATATTTCTTGTGGGAGGATATTACCACACCAAGGGTGCTCAGTAAGTGCAAATTAACGCAGATAGCCTCATTTCTGACTGGCAGCACTTAGCGGGTCGTACTGGATATGGCCCTCGTTTGTCTTCTGGGCTTTCGATCGCTTCGTCCGGGTGGTTAGACTTGTTGTATTCAATCACTCTTATTTTGGCTTCAAGTCAGGAGCTGGGACAATGGATGCAACGACGGAATTGCTTTCCGAAAATATCGTTCGATTGCGCCTACGTCGACCCCCGCATTTCCACTGGTCCCCAGGACAAACGGCATATCTAATCATGCCCTCAGTTTCGACACTGCCATTCGAAGCGCACCCTTTTACTATTGTGAGTTTCGATTCTAGTCTCCTGTCAACCGCAAGACCAGAGGATCAATCGGGAAGCGGTGAAAACAACGGAACTCAGGTTCTGGGATCGAGCGCTCCGTTCTGGAAGGAGCTAGTGTTTTTGGTCAATGTGCACGGAGGGTTTACGAAAAAGCTAAAGGAGGTAGCCGGAACGAAGGGCAAAGTTAAGGTTTTTGTGGATGGTCCTTATGGTCCGTCTTCTGACCTCGGTTCTTACGACACATCGATATTTGTGGCAGGTGAGCTGTGCGTTGTCTCGTAATGACACAGTACTTATCGAACCAGGAGGATCTGGTATATCGTATACCCTCCCGGTATTCCTGAACGTTATCGAGCACGTGGATTAGTTTGCTTGTTATCATTGATGTCTAATTATTCTCATAGGTGCGTGCGCAAAGGGAAAAGCTCCTGCAAACGGGTAGTGTTCATTTGGTCCATACGCGGGGCTGGTGCGTAGATTCATGACTCATCCATAGCAACAATACTAACGTCATATTTTATAGGGTGTGTTCAATGGATTGAAGAAGCACTGATCAAGGCTGTTCAGCTTGCTCCGCCTTCTTTGACAGTGTCCATCCGTATCTTTGACACTGGTTCTCCATCAACGTCACAGTACATGGAAGAAGATTTCAGCCTTTCAAATCCAACAGAGAAGAACGGCACTCCCGAACAAGTTCTGACAAGGAAGGTATCTGTATCGTCGTCAATGCTATTTTCATTACATGGGGTCAAAATGGAGAGTGGACGAGCAGACCTGGATGCCCTGCTCAAAGAAGAGGTCAGCATGGCATCGGGAAGTATGTCGGTGAGCGGTAAGTACTAACTCCCCCGATCTTTAAGAACGTAACTTACTGGTATGGCATTAGTTTGCGGATCGCAGGGTATAGCACGTGCAGTCCGTCATGCACTTCGTTTCCCTGTCTCGGGACCTTCCAGTATTCTCAGTGGAGGACCGAGCGTAACCTTATATGTCGAATCTTTCGGATACGCCTGACAGTCCCCTCCTGATCTACCTTGATCACTTTTATGCATGTCCTATTATGTTTTCTTTATCGCCAGAGTTTCTTATGGTTTGGTACTGTAGCTGTTTAACAAGGACTCTGAGTGCTGTATCGTCTATTAGCATTGGGCTCACGCCTAGTTAACACATGTCACATGGATATAGGGGCTGTTCGCAAACAACCCGTAGAACCAGATTAAACTTCTGACTTGGCATTACACCCTTGATCCGATCAGCACTGAATTTTTGGGCGCGATGACCAACACAAATGGGGGCTCTTGCCTGAAATTTTCCACAGATCTTAAAAGAATTACCATTATATTCGAGCACCACCAAACTGAATGCGTGCTGAAATTTGTTATTTTCTCCATTCGTAGAGGCGCAAAGCCTTGCGTCCCCTTGGGGTATATAATACCTGGATAATCCAGAACAGCCACCAGAGTGAGACAGCTGAAGATTGATGATCTACGAGAAAATGACATAGAAGAACAGAAGCACGGATGTGATTCCAAGGAGATGTTGACCCACGCCAGTGTGGAAGGTACCAACCAACCGGCGAAAAAGTAGCGATATCATGATCGGGCGATAAGACGAGTATCCGCATTACCGATTTCGTGAGACCCCCTTTTCGGGACCCTGGAGCAACTCTACGACTTGAGTGTTGCTCTGAAACAGAGAATAGATCACAACTTTGATGAATAAAGCATCGAGGTCAATAAACCCAAGTAGAGCTCATCCAAGTGATATAACCCGGATAGGCGATGACTGATGTTCTCTTTTTGGAAAGTGAGTACAACAGATTGTCTGCTAGATCTCGACGTGCTGAAAGCACATATATCGGTTTGTAAAACACCTTGCTCCCTGGAAAATATAATGGTGAATGTTCTCATTGAAAACCGTCGGCCTTTTCCATGTCACGGCAAAGCATGCTACCCTACCATGAGTAGTGAAAAAATGTGCAGATAGGAAAGGGTTGTGGCTGCAGAAGTGACTGCACTGCCAGTGCATCATGGTATCAGACACATGCTTTTTCAAGTTAGTTCGCTTGATGCTACTTACCATATATATAGCCGAAGACATGACAATTTCTCCACGGTACGTACGCTCCACGCTTGGTTATATTCTATCTGGTTCAAGCAGCTACCCAATTGATGAAGCAACAAATGTATACCTTGCTATTTGCGGAAGATATGAGGGTGCATGGGAAAGGAAGGACAGGAACTGGGTGTAATCTAACGCGATTCGGGTGATTGGCACATGTTTGTGTAATGGGATGTAATAATTTGAGCGCTTAGCGGTCAGCGGGCCATGTCACTACCGTACCGATTAACGTTTTAACGCTGAGCTTCTTCTCGAGCGAGGAGATCATCGCTAATCAACGCTCATGAAGATTAACTCCCAGCTGGTGCATATGGCCACCCGCACAGATCCGTGGTCACCGGAAAAGCGCGGACCCGATAACTGTTGACATAGGACAAGCGCCACATGCATTAGAACAGTTAGGTTATGAGCAGAAAGTCAGCGCTATTCACCACACACAGTATCCACAACGCAACGATGTCCAAAACGTACTATCATCGCCAACGTCAAACTCTACTGACTGGCTATCGTTTACCAGGTCAACACAACGATGCCAGCGGTGCCTGATACAACAAGAGATGCAAATCTTACTTTGGGAGGCCACCCGGCGTTGGCGCAGACAACTTAAGGGCACACGAATGCAGTAGCATTCTTCGACAACGGGCGACAGGTCATCATTGGTTCCCGTAACTGTACCCTGTGAATGTGGGATGTTGAGCAAAGGGATGAAGCTCGTCTAAGGATATCACAGGCAATGGCTGCTGTTCTCTTCTTCGAAAGTGAGTGCAATGGATCGTTGGGTTCAAAAAGGTGCTTACTTTGACCGCACTAAGATTAAGTCGGTTGCAACTACACCACCACGTCACAGACCAAAGGTTTCGAAGACCGTAAAATGGAATAGCGAAGCTCCTCACTTCAAATAGTCGGCCTTTTTGTATCCTGGTAAAGCATGAATGTGGAATGAAAAATATTGAGCAGAGTGGATAAGACATGTGATTGCGTGTTCTTTCGACTTGAGGGTAGGAACTCCTCAATGACGGAATCGTCCGATACCACCATACGAGAAGTACCAACCATCAAGCACAGCCTATGCGTGGTGCAATAGAAGACGCCTCTTTATTGGACCTGATGTCTTCTGCAGACCCATGCCTTGTAGCCCTGAAGATGCGAGCAGACTGAAAAAGACAAAGCGAAATTTACCTACAGAGTGTTAAATGCCTGCCATGGGGCGGGCACGATTCTTTTGATACTGTAAAACAAGGAAAGGCAAAACGGCATAGAAGAGCAGACGTACGTCCATGGATGTTATCGTGACTGGAGTAGACGCCAGCGTGATGGATGAGAACGTCTCAATGATAGAACTATGTCTGACACCACCGCGCAGAAAGGTAATAGCTTTGTAAGAATCTTGTACTTTGACGAGGGCGATGAGAACATGAGCCTGAGGGGGGCGGCCAACTTGCGTAAAGTTGAGGACATCGATAGGCGATGGATCGGCTGATCGGGTTAGTTAGTGCTGCGTCGGGTACATACTACACATTTCAATCGACTGGAATTACCGAGCAGGCGTTCATAGAAGACACGCATCTTGGCCGCGGGGAGTATTTAAAAAATCTTGCGATCCACACCGCTACGCCACATCCAAAAAGCAGCTACCACAGTCTTACTGGTCGATCTCAGAGAAATTTGGCAGGAGAAGCGAGGAGTTTGAATTTTGCCCTTTATGTAATCGATGTTTGTTACGTACAGCCTGAGCGTCAACGTTTCAACGTGACAAGTCCTTCGCTCGCATCGTACAAAGTACTAGCTATATTATCATAGCGCACCCAGGAGCAGTAGTGAGCATTGAATGGCATAATAAAATGGTACCATTTAATGCATTTCACCCGCCCATGCCCCAATATCAGCCACCTGTCGAACCTTTGATTTGGATCGTCAATCTTTCGAGCCTCTACCAAGACAAAAAATCCTGGCCATTCTAAAATTCTTCTTGAGCTTCGGATGACGGTCATGGATATCATGTTATACTCTATCTTGCACAAAGCCTCCATGGTACCTTGGATAGAAGGATTCTGTGGCATACATCGCCCTTTTGTCGATCTATGCCTTCATTGACAGCAAGCTCAGAGGATTGTGTGCGGTCCTACTCACACCGCATCAACCACTAAATCACACAGCAACTTCAGTCAAGGGCCGGAAGCTTGATATCGTCCTCTGGAGTAACCGCATAGCTATGCTGGCGTCTAGTCAGTTTCCCATTGTCACGGCCCTTGGCACAAAGAACAATATCGTGTCTTGTAGGTGGAAAAGCTGCGAATCTGACATGTCGTTGAGTTTTCGCATCAGTTGACACAGACATAAGCTACGGTAGGGTATGGCATTTAATTACTCTCCACGGGGTACTTACTCGTGGATGAACTCAATTATATCCATTGAATGATGGCTAGGACATGCTTTACGCTCCCTTGTGTACATGCGGTGGGTCGAGTGGTATCATATCCCTAGTACGTATCTTCTATTCCGTACTTGCAATATTCTAATGGAGTTGATCGAAAGCTTCCCTTTGAGCGAGGCATCGCTTCGCGCTGGTATCACTGTCATGGCTGCTTTCTTTATTCTGATCATAGTATCACTGCGTCCTGTTCGCACTGGAGCTTACGAGGTCTTCTTCTACATTCACTTCGTTGGGATCGGGTGGGTGTAGGATTTTTCCATGTGTTTTGTATTTTTTTTGACCGATAGAATCCAGTATATTTCTGGTGGGAGGATATCACCACACCAAAGGTGCTTAGTAAGTGCAAATTAATACAGATAGCCTCATTTCTGACTGGCAGCAAATAGAGGGTCGTACTGGATATGGCCCTCGTTTGTCTTCTGGGCTCTCGATCGCTTCATCCGGGTGGTTCGACTTGTTGTATTCAATCACTCTTACTTCAAGTCAGAAGCTGGGACAATGGATGCAGCGACAGAATTGCTTCCCGAAGATATCGTTCGATTGCGCCTACGTCGGCCTCCGCATTTCCACTGGTCCCCAGGACACACGGCATATCTAATCATGCCCTCAGTTTCGACACTGCCATTCGAAGCGCACCCTTTTACTATTGTGAGTTTCGATTCTAGTTTCCTGTCAACCGCAAGACCAGAGGATCAATCGGGAAGCGGTGAAAATTACGGAGCCCAGGTTCTGGGATCGAGTGCTCTGTTCTGGAAGGAGCTAGTGTTTTCGGTCAACATGCACGGAGGGTTCACAAAAAGGTTAAAGGAGGTAGTTGTAACGAAGGGTGAAGTTAAGGTTTTTGTGGATGGTTTTTATGGCTTGTTTTCTGACCTTGGTTTTTACAACACGTTTGTATTTGTGGCAGGTGAGCTGTGCGTCGTCTCGTAATGACACAGTACTTATCAAACCAAGAGGATCTGGTATATCGCATACCCTCTTGGTATTCCTGAACGTTATCGAGCACGTGGATGAGTTTGATTGTTATCATTGATGCCTAATTGTTCTCATAGGTGCGTGCGCAAGGGAAAAAGCTCCTGCAAACGGGTAGTGTTCATTTGGTCTATATGCAGGGCCGGTGCTTAGATTCACGACTCATCCACAGCCCCTACGAGAAATAATAACATCATATTTTATAGAGTATGTTCAACGGATTGAAGAAGCCCTCATCAAGGCTGTGCAGCTTGCTCGGTCTTCTTTGACAGTGTCCATCCGTATCTTTGACACTGGTTCTCCATCAACATCACAGTACATGGAAGAAGATTTCAGCCTTTCAAATCCAACAGAGAAGAACGGCACTCCCGAACAAGTTCTGACAAGGAAGGGTTCTATAACGTCGTCAATGCTATTTTCATTATGCGGGGTCAAGATGGAAAGTGGACGAGCGGACCTGGATGCACTGCTCAAAGAAGAGGTCAGCATGGCATCTGGAAGTATGTCGGTGAGTGGTAAGTACTAAATCTGCCGGCCTCTATGAATGTGCAACTTACGGTATTACATTAGTTTGCGGATCGCAGGGTATAGTACATGTGGTCCGTCACGCACTTCGCTTGCCTGTCTCAGGACTTTCCAGTATTCTCAGTGGAGGGCTGAGCGAAACCCCATATGTCGAATCTTTCGGACATGCCTGATAGTCCACTCCTAGTAATCCACCCTGACTTATTCTGTTTTCTTTGTCACCAGAGTTTTCTTGTGGTATGTTATTGTAGCTGTTTAACAAGGACTCTCAGTGCTGTATCGTTTGTTAACATTTGACCCTCACCCAACATATAGGAATTTTTCCACACTACTGTCTACTCCCATGATAGTCATGAATGATGTGTCAAGACAATATCTCAGCAGTACTGTGACCTGAGAATGACATAGAAGATGTGAATGTGAATTGTGTGTGTGTGTGTTGAGTTGCATTCTTCAGAGGTGGTGGATGTGGCTCAACTTGGCAACATTGAATATTGCAGTGTCATATGTAGTTCTGTCAATCTGAGCTGAAGTTCTGACTTCAATGAATGGAGTTTATTGACCTTGTCCCTTGTGTCCAGTCACTTCGCATGTCATTTCCTTGCAGTCTGGTCCCTAATAAGCTGGCTCATTCCAAAAATCTTCCTCAACAGAAACCATCAAATATTCGCTGTGGCGTCAATATTGACAGGCCATTCATGACCCTCTATCTGAGTCCATGGTCATTGTTATCTATCTTTGAAAGACACCTGCTGTCTGAGGTACATGTGGTTGAGCTTTATGATTGAAGATTCAATGCTGACTGGTAGGTTAAGAGAGGAATACACCAAGTGAGAAGCCTATCAACATCTGTCAGCATATGGGATACCACAGATTGTTTTGCTGTGTTAATAAAGAAGGTGCATTGTAAAATCTATTCATATGTATGCCTTGGCCTGTTTCTTGACTAATCTGTCTGTACTAGTTTTTAGACATGTGCACCTTGCCATATTTCTGCCAGTCAAGCCAGCAAAGCACTGATACATAAGACATCAGTGATGATTGTGGAATGATGGGTGAGAATGTCTCAGTAATAGAGCCATGTCCACCAACACCACCACACAGGAAAGGTGGCAGCTCTGCAGGAATCTTGTACATTGACAAGGGTGGTGAGAAAACAAGCCTGAGGGGAGGTGGTCAACCTGTGTGGGATTGTAGGGCATGAATAGGTGATGGATGAGTTGATCGGGTCAGTTGGGGCTGCATCAGGTATATATTTCAATTGACTAAAATTACTGAGCAGACACTCATACAAGACATGCACCTTGGCCACAAAAAGAATAGAAAATCTTGCCATCCACACCACTACACCACACCTAAAAAGCAACTATCACATGTGCAGGACAAATGGTGATGCAGAATTGATGTTATTGCAGCAATCATTCTGCCTGCTAAAGTAAGTCTTGCAATGGCAGTGGCATGAAGGACTCAGTGAAGATGAGACAGAGTATATGATCAACAGATGAATGTTGTACCTTGTAGATGTGGCAATGCAAGAAAGTAAAAGGTGATTCTGTGAGGCCTCTATCATGTACACTGATTGGCAACTGCAGGACACAGGATATCCAACCATCTGACCCCAATGATCTACACCAGCATAGTCATTGAGTTGGAGTTGGTCATCATTCCCATGCATCACATACATATTATTCCCACCTCCCTAAGGTGGGTTCTGTGGGTAAGAAACATCTTTTTCTCTACAAGAAGATGTGCAGGAAAGTTTTATGTCAGTGACAACTGTGGGAATGGTATGTTTCACAAAACATGTCTCAGTCTCTCTTTGATGCATCCCCCATTTGTTCTTTTCCTTTTGGTATGTTTTTTCTCCCTTGTTGACTTGCACTCATATTCCTGCTATCTAGGATCTTCTTGGTGAAGACTCCCTCCTGTGTGTCTCATGTCCTTGATGAGTGTGCATGTCCACCCTCCACTGTTCACAATATCTGCAATTACCCTGATTATTATGACCCTCTTTATTATCCCCAATATCATACCTCAATTTTTTCTACTGTGTCTGCATTCTGTGCTTGGCTTCTCAAATCCCTCATTTCTCATCACTGTACATGCATGTCTTGCATGCTGTTATTCATGGGTTCTATTTGCTATGATGGTGTACTTGTCATCATCATGCAGCAAAGGACATTTATTTCATTGTTATTCCATGCCTTTCAAAGCACTGGTTATTGTCACTGTGGCATCATCCATCAACTGTCCTTCACTTCCTCTCAAGTTTGTTTTGTGGACTGGTTGGAATATTATCCCCCTTGGTCTTATACCTGTGATGAAACTATGCTTGATGAAAGTCTGAAACACCTTGAATGACATGTAGGGAACAACAATATTGAGGTCCCAAGGGACACTGGTTGACTCCCATGATCATGGCATGTGCTGCAGATCTGGTGATCATGCTGCCATTGCATCTCAATATTTTGATGAATTTAGAGAAGTATGTAAGTGCAAGTGGTTCAATGAGCTGATGGTAACATCAAAGGACAACTTTACATGCCAATTCCCTGTGATGGTGACTGGTGTGACTGATTGAATGAAGATTAGTTATCATCAAGATCTCCAGAATGCTCATGGCAACATTGGGAGTGTGAGCGACTGGTTTGAGTATGAGTACAAGGATGACAAATGAACAGTTTTCTTACAATGTCCAGGGCAAAGGATAGCTAGGTTAAGTGACAGGTTGGGTTCTGAAGGGGCCATGTAAGTGAGATCACTGGATAAGAAGAGGTGAGTCTTGACAATAAAGGTTGAAGAAGATATTGCATGGAACACAGGGAGCAGTGGCTTGGTGTGTCTCAGATTGCATTGTGTGGCAATGGTTACAAATCAGGTGTATGAAGAATGGAGAGACTGGTCAGGATGAGTGCATTGGAAGGTGGCAGAGTTGGGTTAGCAGTAGAGGTAGTATCAACTCAGACAATGTGAACAGTGAGTCTACTTGTTGATACAGCACAAAGAGTCAGACATGCCAGAAGATTGATGGAGTAGTTTCAATAGTACTACACTAAGTTGAAATGTTTGGGACAGAGCCTTACCAGTTTTCAAAAGAATCTGAGGAGGTGGGAACAGGTGTGTCTGTGGCACTACAATATAATTATTAGTGGTACTAAAAATAACTTTCAAAACTTTTTGGAAACTTGGGTAGAGTGTGGCTAAACCTTCCAACACTTCAGGCAACTTGGCCTGGATTGAAAGTCAGTCTGGTGAAGGAATCAACTACTCAGATATGGCTCTACAAGGAATACCAAGTCAGAGTATATAGGTGGTTGTCTCAACGAGCCCCTTCAGTGACAAACTTTGTATTATACGGGTCACCCAACCTACATAATATCCCGTATAAGATGGGCCAGCAGACTATGGGCTGATGTTATGTATATCCTTGATGTTGATGGGTGGGCCCATCTATGCTGATGTTATAAATATCCTTGATGATGGTGGATGGGCCGGAAGAAATATTATTACTGATGGAGATGGGTGTGTGAGAGGTGACGAGACTCAGACTAAGGAACTAAGGATGGGAACAGACTCAGTCTTGGATCGAAAGACTAAGATTAACTATGGATCATACCTAAGGATGGGAACGGACTTAGTAGAGTAGTAGTTAGTAAGGGTAGAGTAGAATCATTAATAAGAAAGCTCACCTCAGTCTTGGATCGAAAGACTGAGGGAGATTATTCGATGAAGAGAGGAATTAATATGTTTGATTGAGATGGAGAATCAATGGGGAATGTGTATGATGCATGGTAGGAGGAGTGATTGTGTATGTAAAAGGAAAAAGGTTAAGTATGTATAAAGGTCATATCTTGATACTCCCACTCAGACGCAAATCACTAGAGACGTGTGTGTAGCTTATTCAGCTGGTTCTTCATTTGAAGGTGAACAAAGGGCGAGTGAGTGACGATGGTTGTGGAAAAGTTTTTGTGGTAGGGATTTCGTGAAAATGTTGGCAACCATATCGTGTGTGGGTACATATGGAATAATGATGGTCCCATCGCTAACTAGATCTCGAATGAAGTGATAGCAGATGTGAATGTGCTTTGCCCAGTTGTGAAATTGCAGGTTTTTTGTTAGTGCATGACTTCCATTATTATCACTGTATAGTGTGGTGGGGGTGATCAGTGACAGGTTGAGACCAAAGTTGCATAGCAGCTGACTGAGATGGATCTGCTCACGGGCTGTGTTAGAGAGAGAGATGTATTCAGCTTCAGTGGACGAAGTCGCAACGATGGATTGCTTTTGAGCATGCCAACTAATGGGGGAACTGAAGAGATAGTAGACATAGCCCCCAATCGAACGACTATCATCTTTGTCAGACGTGAAGTCTGAGTCTGAGTAACCAATGAGTCCTTGGTTGGATAAACCAAAGGTCAGGGAATGATGTGTGGATCCACGGAGGTAATGAAGGACATGGTGAAGTTGGTGATAGTGCTCTATGCCAGGGTTGCTCAAAAATTTCGACAGCGTCAATACTGCATATGCAATGTCAGGATGACTAACGCACATAGCGAAGTTGAGTTCCCCAATGACATGCGCATATGGCATGTGCGTGAATTGTCGCACTTCAGTTTGCGTGAGGGGTGCAGATGACTTCGTCAAGGAGATGCCTGGGACCATGGGGGTAGACACTGGACTACAATCTGACATCTGAGTTTCACTGAGGATCTGTTCAAGAAAAGAGGATTGGTTGATGGTAAGGAGCTTCTTGGAGCAATCACATGTGATATGCATCCCTAAAAAATGACATGCTTTGCCAAGATCCTTCATCTCAAAATGTTTGCCCATCTCCAACTTAAAAACATTAAGGAAATTGCGACAATTCAATGCGAGCAACATGTCGTCAATGTAAATGAGGAGCCAAATGGTCTTGTCACCCTTGCGCAGGACATACAGACTATAGTCTGCTTCACTGCGAACAAAATTGAAGCCTTCTTTTCATAAGAAGTTGTCAAGCATCTTGTTCCATTGACGACCAGCTTGCTTGAGTCTGTAAATGGCCTTGAGAAGTTTCCAGACCCAGTCTGGGTGTTCAGAATCTTTGAAACCTGGTGGTTGACACATGTAGATTTCTTCATCAAGGTTGCCATTGAGGAAAGCAGTCTTGATGTCCATTTGATCAAGTTCAAGATCGAACTTAGCGACCATGGAGAGTAGCACATGTACCGTGTCGTACTTTGTGACAGGGGCGAAGGTGTTGGTATAGTCTAGACCTTTGATCTGGGTGAAACCCTGTGCAACAAGATGGGCCTTATGATGGGCAATCTGACCATTCTCGTCATATTTGTGTGAGTATACCCACCGTGAGCCTACTGCTTTTCTCCCTGATGGGAGTGGTGTTAAGACACCCACTCCTTTTTCTCCCAATGAAGCTAACTCTTCATTCATCACACTTTCCCAATGACCCAAATCTGTTGACAAGCGAGCTGCAGATATTGTTTTGAGGGGGAGCTTCTGTCCATCAATCTTATTGCCATCTGTCAAGGATACATGTCTTGCGGAGTGTTCGATGATGGCGTTGGGGGTTGCAGTAGTATCACAATCTTGTTCTTCATCAACTTCCTCCTCGACAGTGATGGGGACATAGGTCCAATGCTGCTGTACTGGAATATGTTTGGTCGGAATGGCAACAGACTTCGGAACCACTGGTCATGCGTCGATGCATTGACGTGTTGAATGTCGTGGCTCAGGAGGTGGTGCTGTTTCTATAGGAAGTTCAGTAGTGACAGGAACTGGCAGAACATTGTCGTTTGACTGCAGGAATGGCTGTGGAGGTTCAGGGATGGGAGGAGTGGAAAACAGAAGTGCTCTCACTGAAACATTATTTGGTCCTGGTAATGTGATCTCAGAGCCATCTTCTCAAGGTCGTGTGATTTTGAAGCCATCTTCTGATATTGGCAGTGATTGTGGCAATGCGTGAGTGGACTGCTGCATTAGCGTGCACTGATTATATAGTTCGACAAGGGGGGAAATGACTGAGTTGGGTGTGCCATAGAAGACGGTTTCATCAAAATGGACATTCTGGGAGCGTACTGTTTGTCATGTCACCGGGTCCCATAGAAGGTATCCAGCATCCTTGACATGTCTTAATAAGAAGCACCACCTTGTGACAAATTTGTATTTGTTGCGATTATTGTCTGGGATGTGAGCATAGGCAAGGCAGCCAAATGGACATAAGTATGAGACATTTGGTAGTTCACCATAGAATAGTTCAAAAGGTGTCCTATTGTCAGTGGCTGACGACGGAAGGAAGTTCTTGATGTAAGCTGAGTTGAGGATTGCATGACCCCAGAACAAATGAGGGTAACCGCTCTGGTGGTGAGCACTCAATGCTCGAGTGGCAACAGTCTGGTGTCCGCGCTCTGCAACACCGTTTTGTTCTGCTGTGTATGGCATTGTAAGCTCATGTTCAATGCCCTTACTGCACAGAAGCTCAATGGTAGCGTGAGAGACATATTCACTGCCATTGTCACTCCAGAGACATTTGACTCGCTGACCTAACTGGTTCTCAATCCAAGCGATATATCACAGAAGATGAGAATGTACCTCACTCTTGTGTTTAAGGAGGTAAATAGTCAAAAAGTGTGAAAAATCATCTGTGAAGGCGATGAAATAGGTTTCGCCAGATTGTGTTGCAGTGTTGACAGGTCCCCAAACATCAGTGTGAATGAGCTCTGCAATGTGTGTTGCACGGTGTCGAGCATGAGGCAGGAATGGTAAGTGTTTTTGCTTGCCCATTAGGCATGATGGGCAGTCAATATGGTCACCAGGTCCTGCGGACTTGTCTGAGGAATCAAGAGTCAATCCCACTACAACTTTCTCAGCTTTTCGCAAGGTAGAATTTGAGGCATGGCCCATACGTGCATGCCATACAGCCAGTGGTAAGGGCATAGCCGAGGTGGACCTGCTGGCAAAAGCCACATGGGTGTGCTTGGCCCATAGATAGTACAAACCAGCAGAGCACTCCACACGTGCAATCACAGTTCTATTAGCACGATGCATTTGTCCTCCTTCAGCATCCATTTGGAAGAAGATGCCTTCCGACACTAAAGCAGACACAGATATCAGTGTGTACCGTAGGTCAGGTACATGGAGGAAGGGGAGTTTGATGGACTCATGTTTCCTGTTGTTGTTGAGCGCTAGTGTGATGAATCCCCATCCTGGGGCAAGAACGGTATCATTATTGGCAAGCTTCACTATTAGGGGAGGGTTATAGGTTCTGTAACGAGTGAAGAGGGAGTGTTTGGATTCCATATGTGTGGTGGCAGCTGAGTCTACATGGAATGGGAATGAAATAGTGTTCATATTAGAGTAACTGGCAGAATGCACAGGAAGACAAAGGAAGAATGGGATGTTGTCAGGTTGTCCTAACGTGAGAGCCAATATGTCAGTGCCTTGTGAGGGTGAGGAAGGGATACATGCTGACATATTGGGCACATCCGATTTTCCTAGGTGAGCATGGCAGTTGTGCCAGATGTGGCCTGTACGTTTGCAAGACCCACATGTCAAATGCCATGAAAGTTCCCATTTGTCACCCTTGGTAATGTTGAGCTCCTTCGGCTTCAGATGCTCAGCTGGCTTCCCCGGTTTGATAGCTCTAGCTGCCATGGCAGTGTGATGCGTATGTGGGTTGTCTGATCCAAAACTCACATAGTACTGTTTGGAGTTTCAGATCTGATTTATGACGCCTTCGAGCGTTAGTTTTCCAGCATTTGCATCAGCACTATGAAGAATAAGTTGCGAGAGTGGGGCATAGAAGTCTGGTAATGCACAGAGCAATGCTTGTACAAGAGTGTACTCGTTGCACTTCCATTCTGTTGACTCAATAGCTTTGAACTGGGCCTTAATATCTGTAACTTCCTTGATTGAAAGCGTGAGTGAATCACTGTCTGAAGCTTTTGGGAGGTCGAAAACATGACCCATAAGACGTGTGAAATGGATACTGATGGTGGCCTGGTACTTATTCTCAAGCACCTTCCAAACAAGTGCAGGATCTGAAACACCTGTGAAATGGATTAAGTTGCTGGAGTGCACAGCCATCCTGAGCAATCCTTTGGTAATACTCTGTCGTTCACAAAAGGACATGACATCTACACTTGCTATATGTGTGGCAAGTTGTTGTGCAAAAATTGCATCGGACTCAGTAGAGAGTTTGATTGGCAGTTGCGGTTCCTTTTCATCACCAATGAGGAGGCGCCAGAGGTTGAATAAGGATAACCAGAGGTCCATAGATGTGACCCATGACAAATAGTTGGATCCATTTGCATCTAGTGGAGAATGGGGAAATGAAGAAGGAATTCGGATATTGGAAGACATCTTGGATGATAATGAAAAGAGCGTCAGCAATGGCAACAATTGAGAAGATGGAATGGGCAGTTTGAAGGTGGAATGAGAGGAAAGAGTGGGCGTCAATGGTGGTGATGGCAGTAAGGGGATAGATAGCACCCATGGGTCAAGCAGTGACAAGGGCCAGCCTTGTTCCAGTTTGGGAAAAGTTGGAGAGGCTCAGATAAGGCAAGTGGAAGTGAGAAACGAATGTAGGCCTAGTCTGAGCCAGGGCTCATAACCTGTGAGAGGTGACGAGACTCGGACTAAGGAACTAAGGATGGGAACGGACTCAGTCTTGGATCGAAAGACTAAGATTAACTATGGATCATACCTAAGGATGGGAACGGACTTAGTAGAGTAGTAGTTAGTAAGGGTAGAGTAGAATCATTAATAAGAAAGCTCACCTCAGTCTTGGATCGAAAGACTGAGGGAGATTATTCAATGAAGAGAGGAATTAATATGTTTGATTGAGATGGAGAATCAATGGGGAATGTGTATGACGCATGGTAGGAGGAGTGATTGTGTATGTAAAAGGAAAAAGGTTAAGTACGTATAAAGGTCATATCTTGATAGGGTGGGCCCATCTGGGCAATATGTAGAGTAGAATAGACATATATTATAGACAGCTGGGCTGAAGAGAGATGTATGGTAGATATTATTATGTAGACAGGTGGGCTGATGTATTAGTATTATTTGTAGACAGGTGGGCTGAGGTGGGGGCTATATTAGATAGATGGGTGGGCCGATGTAGGGTATATTAGATAGACAGGTGGGCCAATGGGGCAGGGAAATATGTATTATATACAGTGGCTCAAAAAACTGTCCACATGTTTTTGCATTTTTTACTATTTACAATATTGTGTGAGAATACATAAAGACCTCAGTGACATGCTGATACCATATTGTGGTGCTGCTTCAGGGCTTTGGATTGAGCACCACATCGTGAGAATCAGAGGAGATAAGGTGGAGATACAAGGCTTACAAAATTGTGACTCATGTGGACAGTTTTTTGAGCACATATTGAAACTATATAAATCATCATTTATGACACCATAATAATCATGCCACCATTAAATAAATTATAAAGTGGTGTCATTATGTCATTTTAAAACCATATCTAACTATACAAACCAAAAATTTCCATATGTCATGGTTATATTCACCATGAAAGCCACCCCCCCTGCGCAAAGGGATAATATCCTCTCTCTTTCCTATTCTGGCCTCTCTGCTTGTCAAATTTCCTCTAGAACTGGAGTATCCAAGTCCACTGTGGCCAAGTTCATCAAAGAAAGTCACACAGACAAGGAAAACTTCTGTGAAGGGCGTCCATCCAAGCTCACCTCTACTGATAGGAGGGCTATTATTCAACATATCACTACAGGAAAGGCTGATAATGCTGTCCAGGTCACCTATTACATCAATTCCACCATCACATTCCCTGTCTCTTTACACACTGTGAGAAACATTCTCAAGACAGCTCATCTCAGGTCAGTAACAAGGAAGAAAAGGCTCTCCTCTCTATCACACATATGCAGAGATGACTAACCTTTGCCTTAGCCCATCAGAATTGGATTACATGGACTGGAAGCATGTTATATGATCATATAAGACCACAATAAATAGGATTAGGTCAAATGGCAAGGTATATATGTGAAAAAAGAAGGGTGCTAGTCCTCTCTGCATATGTGTGATAGAGAGGAGAGCCTTTTCTTCCTTGTTACTGACCTGAGATGAGCTGTCTTGAGAATGTTTCTCACAGTGTGTAAAGAGACAGGGAATGTGATGGTGGAATTGATGTAATAGGTGACCTGGACAGCATTATCAGCCTTTCCTGTAGTGATATGTTAAATAATAGCCCTCCTATCAGTAGAGGTGAGCTTGGATGGACGCCCTTCACAGAAGTTTTCCTTGTCTGTGTGACTTTCTTTGATGAACTTGGCCACAGTGGACTTGGATACTCCAGTTCTAGAGGAAATTTGACAAGCAGAGAGGCCAGAATAGGAAAGAGAGAGGATATTATCCCTTTGAGCAGGGGGGGTGGCTTTCATGGTGAATATAACCATGACATATGGAAATTTTTGGTTTGTATAGTTAGATATGGTTTTAAAATGACATAATGACACCACTTTATAATTTATTTAATGGTGGCATGATTATTATGGTGTCATAAATGATGATTTATATAGTTTCAATATGTGCTCAAAAAACTGTCCACATGAGTCACAATTTTGTAAGCCTTGTATCTCCACCTTATCTCCTCTGATTCTCACGATGTGGTGCTCAATCCAAAGCCCTGAAGCAGCACCACAATATGGTATCAGCATGTCACTGAGGTCTTTATGTATTCTCACACAATATTGTAAATAGTAAAAAATGCAAAAACATGTGGACAGTTTTTTGAGCCACTGTATATGGGTGGGCCGATGGAGGGGGATGTCATATAAACAGGTAGGCTGATGGGGCAGGAAATATGTATTATATATACAGGAGGGCTGACATAGGGTATATTAGATAGACAGGTGGGCCAATGGAGGGGGATGTCATATAAATGGGTGGGCCCAGATACATATCATTTAGACATATGGGCCAAGGTATTGGTATACTATATGGACATATGAGCAATGCTGTTGCACTAGTTTTGATCCAAGTCATCAATGACATTCAGACTCAGATCCTGTCAATGTCAATCAAAGTCAACACAGTGAGTACTGAGTCCCGAAACCTGAACATCAAACCCCAACCATCGAAACCCAAAACCCAAAGTTTTGAAACACCAACATTGAAACTCAAAACTCAAAACTCAAACATTTTTATGACTGTCAAGTTTCCAGTCTTGAATCACTGAGTCCTGCATACCAAATGCTGACACCTGAAGTTGTGTTGGTACTTGGACTTTGGGACTCAGTGATTTGATACTTGAAAGTCATACCAATATCTGAATTTCGAGTTTCGAGTTTCAAGACTTGAATCACCAAGTCCTGAAACCCAAACATTGAAACCCAACACCCAAAACTCACAGGTTGTACCAATATCTGAATTTTGAGTTTTGAGTTTTGAGTTTTGAGACTCAAATCAGCAAGTCCCAAAACCTGAGTCCCGAACATTGAAACCTGACACCCAAAATTGGAAAGTCGTACCAATATCTGAATTTCAAGTGTCAAATTTTGAGACTCAAATCACTGAGTCCCAAAGCCTAACACCTGAAACTTGAAAGTTGTAAAAATGTATGAGTTTTGAGTTTTGAGTTTGAAAATTGAGACTTGAAACTCATACATTTTTACAACTGTTGAGTTTTGGGTGTCAGGTTTTGGGACTTGATGATTTGAGTCTTGAAACTCAAAATTCAGATATTGGTACAACCTTTGAGTTTTGGGTGTTGGGTTTTGATGTTCAGGTTTCAGGACTCAGTGATTTGAGTTTTGAAACTCAAAACTTGAAATTCAGATATTGGTACAACTTTTGAGTTTCAGGTGTCAGGTTTTGATGTTTGGGACTTGGGACTTGGGACTCAGTGATTCAAGTCTCAAAACTCAAAACTCAAAATTCAGATATTGGTACAACCTGCAAGTTTCAGGTGTTGGGTTTCAATGTTTGGGACTTGGGACTCGAAACCTGACAGTCATAACAATGTATGAGTTTCAAGTTTTGAGTCTTGAATCACTGAGTCCCGAGTCCTGAAACCTGAACATCCAACCCCTTATATCCAACCCCAAAACCTGAAACTTAAAACTTGTCAAAATGTATGAGTTTTGAGGTTTGAGTGTCAATTTGTAAACTCAAAACTCATACATTTTGACAAGTTTTGAGTTTTGGGGTTTGATATAAGGGGTTAGATGTTTGGGTTTCAGGACTTGGGACTTGGTGATTCAAGACTCAAAACTTGAAACTCATACATTGTTATGACTGTCAGGTTTCAAGTTTTGATCTTTGTTTCTAACTTTTGGGTTTCGCTACTTGGTTTTTTGAGACTTGGTGATTGAATAAATGGACTGGCAGAGGTAACATTCATTGAAAAACTTGTATATATGTCTATCACTATGCAATTATATAGCCATGTCAACCTCCTCAGAAGATGCTTCAACCTTCACCTCAACATCCATGTCATTGGAAGAATCATATTCTGGGACCAGGTTGCCCAGATCACCTGGGTCTGCATTTTTGCTGGACGTATCTGGAAGCTCTGGTTGAACAACCCAGTTGTACTCAAACAGGAGGCCCTCAATGGCAAAGGCATCCTCAAATTTTGGGGGTGCAGGTGTCATCTCTCCAATTGAGAGATCAATGAGAGGGGGGAGTGCAAATGTGGATGGTGACATGGACAGGGGACAGATTGATCAAGCAACAAGGATGTTGCATTGGCCAGAGGTTCAGGAAGTGGGAATGCAGGGTGCCAGTTGACGATTTCACACCTAAGGCCTTTATGGAGGCATTGCAGGGTATTAATCTTACCATCCTGCTCTGCCACATGAGCCTCGAGAATGGTGATGCGAGCTGTGCCATCCCAAATTGCAATTGCCATGGCATGAAGATCCAGCATGAGCAGGTCGAGTGCTGCAGCAGGGACTGCCAGACTGGGTGCTGGAGCAGGGACTGCTGAACTCAAAGACAGAAGTGCTACAAGGGAAAATTATGGTCAGATGGTGATGAAACAAAACTCAGGTGACTTATGAGCTGGTGCAGGGTGCCTTGCCAGCAGTGATGGTCTTGCTGTGACCACACGTCTGGGTCTTGGGGGTTGTCACAGCCACGACACCCGGAGTTCTGGACTTGCCACGAGACTGACTGTGAGTCCAGGCCTTGGATTGGGAGGTGGGGGGAGCAATGGAGGGAGCCTTGGAGGGCATCCTGGACCTTGTGTTCTGGGTGGTAGAGGACCCACAAACACGTTTTGGCAGGGTACCCATAGTTGCTGGGATGCACTTGACCTTCTTTGTTGTGCAGTGGACACATGACATACATGGATTTCCAGTCCTCTTGTCCAACTGAGTTGCACAGGGCCACTTTAGCTTGGTGCAAACCTGGCATGGGTTGTTCTGTGGATTGTGTTAGTGAATGGACACTTGTCAAATAAATCAAAGTACTCACTGGTCCGGGAATAAGAATATCACCTCCATTGATAACTGGGGGTGCCTCCACTGGGCTTTTGGGAGTCAGCTGGGAGGGCTTGATGACTGCCAGGTGACTGCTGGCAATCACCTGGTACATTGTGAGCATACACCTGAGTCCTGGACACATAAATGTGACTTACTGTAGCAGGGCCAAAGGGCTTTTTGGTTGGAACCCAGGGTGATCTAGGCGAATTGAAGAGCTGGGGAAGGATGACCTCCAGCACTCCACCTGAAAATGGCTACAAGACAATGTGAGCCAAGTCAAAGATGAACCAGACAACATACCTGAATACCCATGTCTTCCTCATCTTCTGAGTCCACTAGGGGCTTGGACATCACCCAGCAAGAGGACTTCACATGCTTGCAAGTCTTCATCGCAGACTTTGGTGGTTGGGAGGAGAGTCCTGAAATCATGGGAGACTTCCTCTTCCAACTCCCTTCTGCCTTGGGCTCCAGGTCAGCATCAATGGCCTTACCTTTCCCCTTGTCCCAGAACTCAGTGGTGGTGTCAGTGGAGGGACTGGCAACATTGCTGGCATGGATGGGTGGGGAGGGAAAGTCCACTGGAATCAGACCTATGGAGGGAGGAGCAGCAACTGGGAGATCAAAGGTATGGTCACCTAAGGCCTCCCAGGCAAGGAGCTTGGGGTGCCAGATGTGCATCAAGAGATGGGGATCATCATATCCAATATTGTGCCAGTTGGGCCAGACCTGGGGAGTCATGCCCCAGACATGCAATAGCTCCTTGGAGCATGAAAGCACAATGCCGGGCAGGGGTCCAGACCCATAGTCCTTGATCACTTGAGCCTGCCTGGATGTTAGAGAGAGAAAAAGAAAACAAAAGAAAGCTACATACCACAAGTGAACTGACCTGTGTTTTCAGAGAAAAGTAGCTGTTACACAGGGGAATCTGCCAGGTGCCACTGATGATGGCCATGATCTGGGCAGTGGATGCCTTGAGACCGGTCAAAGAGTTGTCAACTGGAGTGGACATGATGATTGAGTTGAGAGATTTAAAGATCTTGAAATTGGGTTGAAATCAGTTATCACAAGGATGAAGTTTCAAAAGAAACAAGACATTTGATGGACAATTGATAAAATTGTTGATTGTTTGTCTTTGTTTGGTCTTGGTTCAACTTCCAGCAATTGCCAGTTTTGTATTGAACTTCGAAGTTTTTTCAATTATCAGTCAACAAATCAGTAAGTTCCCCACACAACATGAGTCCACAGACAGCCATTTGATTCAATGACCCTCCAGTGACTGACTACAATTCAATGGATGTGGATGAGTCCACTGTGTCCTGGGCATCACTAGGTGTGTTGTATTTTTATCATGCCTTATCTATTTACTGGGTATCCCTTAGATGATCTATACCTAGGGCCGGATGATGACATAGAATATGATTCTCCATCATCCAGATCACTGGATGTCTTGGCTGCAATACCTGGTAAGTTTATACATTCATTAGGATTGAGGATCACCATGCATGCTCACTAAACCCTTACAGATCAATCACCTCCAGCTCAAGCTGATCATCTAGGTTTTCTCATTGATCCAGACTTGTACCTCAGGCCTGAGGATGATATCATTGATGTGGATGAGTTGCTGGATTCTGCTGATCCTAAGATTGATGTTCTGGCTGCATCAGAAGCATCTATGTCATGTGAGTCCATTAATTCCAGAGGATTATAGATACTTATTGTATCTCCCAAGTAGATGACACCTCTAATGAACTTCATTCAGAGTATCCAGAGCTCACTACTGAAGATTTACATTCAATGGCCTGGGAGTTCCGACCATTTGGGTCATATGAACACACCAGGTGTGAGTATCTGACAAAGCAGATCATTTATCTCTGTGCCAATTTTTCTGCAAGTGCAATCTGTTTAAGATCGACTTGGTGATTACAAACACTGTACCAGGGATCTTCCTGATCCTTCCATTCCACTGCTACTCGAGGCTGAGCGACCCTTCTGGATCCCAAACAGCACCCCTCCCTATTCATTCTTCCAAGCTGACATCACAAACACTCTCATCCCACATTGCCTCCACATCTCCTTCAAAAGGTGCTCCATATACGCAGGTCCCTTCTTATGAGTGACTTGTGCCTGTATCTCAGGAGGAGGAAAGTTGTTGGACCATTCTTCAGCTGTTTCCTTTGCCTTCTCCAACTCATTGTCAGACAATTCAGCCATGACTCTCTTCACAGCCACCTGATAATGCTTGAACATACTGGGACCTCCTGGCTTTGCCCTGGACTCATCCTCAATCCTCTTTAGCACCTCTTCCCAGTTCCACTGGTAGATCACCATCCTAGGTGTCCATTTCCTCCCATACTTTATCATGTCCTTCCTTTCCTTCTTTTTCCTGTTGTTGAACAACCAAGTCTTGTATATCTGAGCATTGATAGAAGAATAAGATATTAAAATTTTAGTTTTTCAACAGAGAGGATGAATCACCTGCTTCCTCTTCTTCCATTGTGCTTGGTCAACCTTAGGAGCAAATAACCTGGCAGCCCTAGCTATGGTAGTGAAAACTGCTCACTTCTCTTTCTGTTTTGCTGAAGTCCACTTAGGAAGGTAGTTCTTCAACTCCAAATTTTTGTTTTTCATGAGCTTCTGTGTCTGTGGTTGATGTGTCCTATGTCTTCCAGAAGTCAACTGAGTGGAGTGACCTGATCTTGCCATGGTGAATGAGATTGCAGAATGGGCTGAGGATAAGCAAGGTGGAAGCAATAATGGTGACAAGTTGAACTTTGAGCAAAGCCTAACAGTTGGTTAATCGACCCATATTGGATGCAATGCCATTAGTGGAAATGAATTTGTAATGATGCATCAAGACTGCATAACATCATATTGCAACAATGATTCATTTGACCTTCCTGAGCTAATGCTTTACTTGCAACATCAGAAACTAAGATGAAGATAGGTAGATGTACCCCACTGCAAAAATCCCACAGGGTAGAAGTAAGGGGCAGTAAGGGTAGGAAAACTTGGGTCAAGGTCCCACTTGCTAGCACAAAACAACATGCCTACAGGTCCATGCCTGACTCTCCCCCAGAATCACCAACACTTCAGCCTGTTGAGGCACCACCTCCTTGGGAAGACTTTCCTGACAATGCTTATGAGCATGACCAAGGCTCATTTGAGCCTTTGCAACTCCCAAAAACCATGGCAAGTTCATGTAAAATGTTGGATTGTCATTCAAACAATAGCTAAGCATAAAAAATGCAGAGTCAGAATGACTACCTCAGGCAGTGGCTGCCAAGGCAGGAATCATATCTACATCACCTCCTAGATCGAGAAGCTCCACCAGAAGATAGGAGATGCATCATCTGCAACCAGGATGGGGTCTACAAATGTCAAGATTGTCTTGGGGAGCCACTATATTGCACTGGCTGTTGCAGGAGTCAATATCTTTGCAATCCTTTCCACTGAATCAGTCAATGGAATAGTCAATTCTTCAAGCAGAGTTGTCTCACCCATGTTGGACATGTCATACACCTTGGTCATGATGGCAAACAATGTCTGGTCCTCACAGATAGGTGGGATTTGTTTGAAGAAGACAAGCATGAAGACCAGCTTGAGCCTGAAGATCAACCATCTGTGTTGGGACCCGAGTTCCAGCCAAAGGAAAACACCATGGTCATCATTGACAAGTCTGGAGTTCATCACCTCAAGGTTCAATGCTGTGATTGTCCAAATGCCATGAGTCCAGACATTCAAATGTTTTGACATGGATTTTTCCCCATATCATTTAACAAGCCTAAGACTTTGTTCACCTTCAGGGTGCTCGATGATTTTCTATTGGACAACCTCAAATGTGGCACCTCGGTAATGAACTATTACAGCAAGCTCCAGTGAATGACCTTGAGCATGTTTCCACATCTTGTTCTGGTAACACCAAATCTCTGACATCTAAAGGACATTATATTGACAAAGCATGTGGCAAGGACTGATACAGAGAGCTCATGAGAGTCACTCAACAGTGGAGGCAGTTGAAGGCCATGAAATGGCATGGATTTGGCCATCATTCTAACAACCCGAATGCAGGAGATCTTGCATTGTTTTGCCTCACATGTCCTCAGCCTGGGATTAATGTATCCTTGTCAGGGGATGAATCACTTGATGAGTGAGTCTAGTTTGATACTGAAGTCACCTCAGCTATAATAATGACTCCAAGCTGGAAATACACCCACTCATTTGTTATGGACGGAAATTTCAAAGCTGAACACCTGCATCCCATCAAGCCATTTGATGAAGTGTGGCTTTCTGATGGGTTGGGATTCATGGTGGGAAAGGACAGGTATAAAACCCATCTTGCAGAGGCTGCTGACACATTAGAAAAATCGAGCTGCAACAATCACTGGGCAGTGAATCAAGCAAATGTGGCTTGGCACAAGCTGGAGTCCATGGGAATCAGGGGAGTTGCCTGTGCCTGACATGGTTGCTTTGTCCCTCACTCAATGGTAGATTTTCAGAAAGGTGAAAGGCAAGCCAACCATGCCATTCTACATTCATGAGTTAACGATGCATCATTTGCAGACAAATGAACATGGATTATGCCCTTTGTGAGGCTGCCCAGCACAACATGGAAGGCATAACCAGGGCTGTCACTTTCTATGACATCAACTGTCAATACAACAAGCACTTTCAGATTTAGGTGGATTGAAGCCGATTTCTTGAAATAGTTCTGGAATTGACCATCATTCCTGGAATTGGGTTGTGGCATGTCCATGGACATCAGGACAGTGGCTATGTCCGATATGTGTTGAATTTTATTGAAGGCATAGTTGGATTGATGGTGAGATCATGGAGACCCTATGGTTGCATCTCAACCTGATTTCCCCTGCTGCTTGGGGAATGTCATCCCTGCATTGAAAGGAATGTCTTGATTATCAGATGAATGATTCCAATTTCTGCAAGATGATCCGCATGAAAAGGACTCTTTGCTGTACATACAAGCAGGCAAAGAATGGCATCGCCAAAAGTGAAAAGGCTTTCAACAGACTTGATAAAGCAGCACCTGCAGCTTCAAAGAAAGAATGGTTAGCCAGTGAGAGGATTGCTCAGTCCAGCAGAATAAATGATCCTGTGGTGATGAATGTATATGAGATTAATATCAAGAAGGGTAAGTTGACTTTGGCTACATTGAAGTCAGAATTAATTGTTGCACTCAGCACTGAGCAAAAAGGAGATTGAGCTTAGACTGCTGGAGGAGGGTAATGCCCATAATGCAGCACCTGCTTGCAGATCAGTGGTAACATGGATATCAATGGGGTTGGCAATTGAAGAGGCTCAAATTGCATTGGTCATTGAGCTCCGAAGAATTGGAAGAAGAACTACAGAGACACAGAGATTAGATATTGCCCAGCAATGTGATTGTCTCCAAGGCCAGATAGATGGATTCACTCGGTCTGCTCTTATGCATCTGGGAGAGGGATTTGATGCAGACAATGATCCTGATGACTTGAACATAGACATTCTCGATGATCTCAATGATGACCCAGCAGATTTCACCAACATATCTGATACATGGGCAAACTCCCCTGAGCTCACTGTCATCCCATTACCATCAAACCTCAGGGTAGATTGAAGCAGATGCTGTATGGCAGAGGATCTGATTCCACTGGAGATGTTGCTTCATGAAGGGCAGGCCAAATCTCAAGTCCTGAAAACTTGAGCTTGGTCCCAGGTGACATTGGTACAGCAGGCAGTGTCCCTCCATGCCAGTATATATACAAAGACCTGGAAGCAAATAATGCAACTTGAGCTGGGGTAAGACTAGCTTCAGACATACAAACCACTGCTTTGGGAGCAGCTCAAAATCAGCACTGCCATCAGTGATCCAAATGCCTGAGGTCAGCGGAACAAGTCCCTTACTTGGTTCTGGTCTTTCAATGTGGACCTGGGGGGTCCAGATCACTCGTGGAATGAGGAATGTGAGTTTGGGCATGCTTGATGTATCCCATGCTCAGCTGATGGGACCCATCCAAAGTTTACTGAGTTCATTGGCTTTGGGCAAAGGCCCTACATGATTGATGGAAGGAAGAAATGACATTGGTCCAATTGGAGATGGATTGGACATATAACTTTTTCTTGTGGAAAGCAACCCAATGGGGCAACAGGATGCAGGAATCATTGGTGAAACACCTTCCAGGTCATTCATGCTACTCGGGAAGGCAATCCCAAATGTATTCATTACTGGCACAGGATGCCCAGGCAGCATTTCAAGACCTGCAGAGCAGGTTCATAGACACTCAAGATGAATGAACTTTTTTGCCAATGATATGAAACAGCTACTTCAACCCAAACATTGGAGTTTGAAAATTTTTATCCATCAACTGGTGGCTCATATCTTCACATCTGAACCAACTGGCATTGTGATTGTGATTTCCAGCTTCATACTCCTGCATTAGCCATGCCTGTATTGCAAACTCCTCCTGCATCCCCTTCTGATGCCATGGATTCTGGCAATGAATACTGACCCCTCACACTCAGTCTTGCAGATATTGCAGCCACAATGTTAATGGCTGCATCATGCATCTGAGCATCAATCTCCCAATATCAGATGGAGTCTGTCAACACTGAGGAGCCTTCTGCTGCTCAGATCATGCACTTTAAAGCTGGGCTGCAATGGGAGATTGCTGTAAGAGACTGATGACTGTGGTGGTCAATGCTGAGATTTCCAACAGACTTTTGTGACACCCATCCTGCAGTACTCAGCTGCAAGGCACATCATCTCAGTTATTCCAAACCTGGTCGCTCATATTCTTCAGTTGTTTTCCCAGCTCACCTGGAACACAGTTCTGGACCACATCTTTTCATCCCACTTATGTCTCTTTCATGATGTTGTGATCTGGGAGATCCCTCCAGGATTATATCTGGCTATGATACTGCATGGTGGATCAGACACACTGCAATCCCAGATGAATTATGGCAATGGGACCAGGTAATGGGTTGCTGTGTCTTTCACTACCAGCATTGGCTAGTAAGAACTATGAACAATTTCCTTGAGTGATGATTAATCTGTTCTAGGGTGGCATTGAGGATGATGGTCTGATTCTTCCTGAGCAGGTGGATAACACCTCAGTTCCATTACTGATGGGACTGAGGTGGCTTAGAGAATGCCTCCAGACATTGGTTGAGGAGCAAGAAGAGGGCATCAGTGAAAAGATGACAGAGATTGAAGTGTACACCGGCATCCTAACCAGATTGAAGAGAGGAAGAGGAGAGTAGTGCTAGTCCTTGAGTTCAGAATGTTGATGTCCAAACTCCATGAAAATGACATACAGTCTTCCAAATATCTAACCTAACATTATGTGCTGAGTCCTGAATACTGAATATCAAGTATCGAGTACAGACAATTGTATATCGCATTGTGAATGTGGACTCCCAAATATTGAGACCTGAATGGTGAATATTGAGTATCAAGTATTGAGATTCAGATATTGTGACCCAACTATTGAATATTGAGTCCCAAATACTGAGTCCCAAACATAGACTACCAAATCTCAACACCTGACCATCGAATATCAAGTTCTGAATATTGAGTCCCAAATATCAAGACCCAAATACCAAATACTGAGTCCCAAATATTGAATATCGAAACCTGACTTGATATTTGGGTGTTGATATTAGGGACTCAGTATTTGGTATTCAGGTGTTGATATTCAGGACTCGATATTCAGGACTCGATATTCGATATTTGGGACTCAGTATTTGGTATTCAGGTGTCAATAGTTGGGACTCAAATATTGACACCCAAATACCGAATACTGAATACCAAGTCCCTAATATTGAATATTGAGTCCTGAATATTGACCCCCAAATACTGAATACCAAGTCCCTAATATCAAATATCAAGTTCCAAATATCAACACCCGAATACCAAATACTGAGTCCCTAATATTGACACTCAAATATCGAGTCAGGTTTCGATATTCAATACTTGCTAGTTGGGACTCAATATTCAATATTTTGTATTTTGTATTTTGTATTTGGTATTTGGTATTTGGGGGTTGATATGAGGGACTTGATATTCAATATGAGGGACTCGGTATTTGGTATTCAGTATTTGGGACTTGATATGAGGGACTCAATATTCAATATTAGGGACTTGGCATTCAGTATTCAGTATTCAGGTGTTGATATTTGAGACCTGACTATGGAATGTCAAATTCTGAATATTGAGTTCCAAATGTCCACTATTGAGTATTGAGTATCGAATATTGACCATTGAGTGTTGAATATTGACCATTGAGTGTTGAGTTCTGGATATCGAGGCCTGAATATTCAAGATCCTGATATCTAATATCTGGTATTTGACAATAGGTGCTAACATGGGTAACTACACTTTCCACTTGTTTCATCTTTCACTGTTTGTAATCCACCCTAGCCCATCCACATGATGGAACCCCAGCATAAACATGAATGAAATCCCTCATATACCATGCCCAAGCAATCTGATCCCCTTCCACTGCATGAACCCCATGTCTCACAATCCTTCTGGAAAATGCAATCATGCCACCTGGATCATACCTGAACTCCAGCTGAAGGCTTGGCATGCTCATCCAAGCATTAGAATAATTCCCCACAGTAATGAGAATGTCAAAGCATTCAGGAATAGATAAATGGTCTTGATGATTGGGGGTTTCCTGATTGGAAATGATGGACAGGCTGTTAAACACAGATGCCCAGTACTGGAGAGTCTCTGACATCTTTGGCAGTTCCTTGCTTTCTGCCTTTTCTCCAAGGCTTGAAAAGGCTTGCAAACCTGCCCAGTACTGCTTGGGATGCATCACCCTGAGTGCCACTGTTGCAATGGCTGCTGGCCTCGCAATGGCTTTGAGGATCTTCTCAGAGGATGCCCCCTTCAATGATGTAGATACCTCTGGATCTGACTGATTCTAGGGGATTTGTGAGTTTGACTACCAAAATTACCATTGCATCAGATCCTACCTTGTGCCCCTGTTGAAACCATGCTGGAGACAAATTGATGCATCTGGGAGTTAAGACATCATTTTCCAAGCTTGGTTTGAACCACTCTTGATTAGTTCGCCAATTGCCATCAAGCTTGACACTTTTTTTGAGGATTGGAGCGAGCAAATCAGAGGCTGCCCAAATTTCCTTCTGTGGGCACCATTTGATGTTTAATATCCATCAAGTAACAATATATATTACACACCTGGGTGGCATCAGTCAGGGTGTCTGGGATGTACCATGTGATGATGGCACCGGATGCATCAAGAATTGTGGTGGGTATCTCCACCAACTTTGTGCCCTCATGGCCAGGGGGACACCTCTCAAGCAACTTCTCCTTTCTCTTTTTATTATGCCTGGTGTCCTTTGGGGAGATCAATTTGCTATATCTTGCAACATTGATCTGCATCTGAACTGTGATGAAGCAATTTGACTGATAAAACCAATTTTCTGAATCTGCAGGAAGACCCACTGGGATTTTTATATGCCTTTATCAGGCAATCAACCAATTGATTGCAAGCCATCACCAGATCAGTGTCTAGGTTTGGAGAAGGTATAACTGGGTCTCCTCCTGTCTTCTCTGCATTGAATTTCCATTTGGTATATTCACATGCCTCATGAGTGACAGTCAGGGCCCAAGTGTGCCAGAGGGTTATTTCAATATCAGAAGTGGAAGAAACAGTCATGATGGAATTGATCTTGGGAAATTGGACACCAAACCCTGCATGTCCACACTTTGGAGTTAAAGGGGGTGGAGATAGCAAGGATCAGATAAGGGAGCCTCACATGATGTTATTTTCCAAAGATGTGTTATCGTCCATTGCTCAATGAAATACCAGATGATTGGAAGTGTGCTGGATATCAGATATTTGTTTGTTGAGACCTGGGCCTCAGATCTCAGTACCCTTCACTCAATGTTTGGTAGTCAGAACTTGGCTTCTTGTAGGGCAATGCATGCTGTGTGCATTAGCTACTCAGTAGTCAGTGCTGCATGTTCACATCTCTACTGGGTGCTTGATTTTCTGGCACTTGTGACCTTCATCATTAGATGACTTTGAATTATTACCTCCTTTGATTTGGATTATATACAACTACCTACAAAACTCATACATTTTTATGACTTTTGAGTTTTGGGTTTTGGGTTTCAATATTTGGGGTTTGATGTTTGGGCTTTGGGACTCAGTACTCAGTGGTTCAAGTTTCGAAATTTGTTTTGATGTTCGAGTTTTGAGTTTCAGGTTTTGGGTGTCAGGTTTATGTTTATGTGTGATAACAACTACCTCACCCCACCCATCGATATAATATATATCACTACCACAGCCTATATGTCCATATGTCCATATAGTATACAAATACCTTGGCCCTTACATCTATGGGCCATCTTTCAAGGTATTGCTGGATTCTGAGTTGATAGGGCACTTGACTGTGTTGACTTTGATTGACATTGACAGGATCTGAGTCTGAATGTCATTGATGACTTGGATCAAAACTAGTGCAACAGCATTGCTCATATGTCCATATAGTATACCAATACCTCAGCCCATACATCTAAATAATATGTATCTAGGCCCACCCATCTATATGACATCCCCCTATGTCAGCCCACCTGTCTATGTAATATACCCCTATGTCGGCCCACCCATCTATATAATACATATTTCACTGCCCCATTGACCCACCCGTCTATCTAATATACCCCCACCTTGGCCCACCCATATATATAATAAATATTTCACCACCCCATCAGCCCACCCATCTATATCATAATATCTGCCATACATCTCTCTTCAGCCCAGCTGTCTATCATATATGCCTATCCTACTCTACATGTTGCCCAGATAGGCCCACCCATCTCCATCAGTAATAATATTTCTCCTGGCCCATCCATCATAGTTGGGGATATTGTTACCTTCAGCCCATGGTCTGCTGGCATGTATTATATGGGATGTTATGCACGTCCATTCACTCATATAATACAGAGATAGGTCACTGCAATATGTGTCTCAACTCTGCCTAGGCTGCTATGCTTTGCAAAGGCAAGTGCATTCAACCCAAGGGGAAGTGAGTGCAACACATCCACAGGTTGTACACACCCAGGTGAAGGCATGCACAGAGAGCGGTAGGGCGTGCGAAGCACAGGAAAGTTGTGCACTAATAGGTGAAAGTGCACAAAAGGCTAGGAATGTGATGGGGACTAAGGGAAGATGATGACTGATACTGATAGGTGTGAGAACCACAAATCCAATGGTGATAGGATGTGATTGCCAATAGCTATTGACTATGGCTCAAAATGCATAAACTACACTGAGGGATACTAAGGGATGCTAACTGGGAACTGAGTGGTAACTCCCTAAGTGATAAAAACACAAATGCTAACATGCAAAAGGCAACTAAGTGCATTCCCATGATGTGGTAAAGGTGAGGACTATGAACTATGAGAGAAACTGACTACTACTAGGAAAACTCTACAGCAAGACCTGGATGTGAGACAGAACTTGACCCAAAGGACAGCTACTGAGAGAGAGTCCTCAAAATGACTGAGGGAGACTCTGAAACTGAATGGGCGCTAGAGGATGCGCGAATGCTAGAAGAAGTGCAATTGAGATGCACACAAAAGCACACTGAGGCAATAGAAAGTAAGAGTGCACATGATGGGGGTCTAAAGTGTAGAGGAAAGGGCTATCTGGAAACTAAATCCAGTAAAGGAGGAATCAAGCTGGCATGAAGTGATCACATCTAGGCAGGTAGCATGTGAATTTGGACTTTTGGGGCTTTTAAACTTGCTCTAATGTGCAAACTACTGCTAATACACAGAGGTGGGGAGTGCTAGGATAATGTTCTCTAAAAAACTATAAGTCCTTTTTCTATATTGAGTACTAGGTGATACTTGTAGCACAGGAGTAAAGTGAGTAGATAGTGATATCTGTATGTAATGGCATCTAAGCATGTGTGTGTGTGCTTACAGCACTGTAATTGGTCCAGAAGATACATCAGAGTGATAAGAATATAATAAAAATGCACCAGTAGACCTTAGTAAGAACATGGATGGGTGAATGGACTGTAGTGGAGGACCTAGAGCAGGCATGTGGGACATGCAAGTGCATTTGTATGTGTGTGGTGGTTGTGCAATGAAGGTTCAACAGCTCTACTAGGCTTGCAGAGCTAAAGAAAGAAAGAGGACTCTCACTCTGGGGTGAGAGGAAGGTCTACTGACTCTCTAAGTGTTGGTTGAAAAGTGCCAGGTGATGTGTTCAACCCTTAAGGGAAGCAAGGAAAGCAAGATCCACTGGGTGACACCAGGTCAACTCTGGTGAAGTGCACACGCGGGAATGTCGAGCACATAAGAGCATGAAGCATGGGAATAAGGCACACACAATGTGTGAACATATAAAAGACTGATAGATGGTGTGAAGGCATGAACTAAGACTGCTGAATGGACTGGTGATGATAATGGACTGCCGCTAAGGACTAGGGTGATGACTCTGATGGATGCTAACTCATGATAATTCTGACTGCTAGATGACTACTGACATGATGGTGGTTGGTGTATAAAAACTTCCCCAGGCAACAGGTAAGCTGTGCCTAGGTGCACTCCCAGGGCTTGGAAGTGAATAGGGAGTGCTCTATGTATGTAAAATGATGTAAAGTAAGGGTCCATAATGAAATAAGAAATCATATGATACCAGAAATGGTCTGATATGAGAAATAAACAAAAAGGGACTCACTAGGGGACTGGTTGGATGATGGATGGATGCTCCAGGACACTGCGCAACAAAGGGCAATTGAGTGCAAGAAGAGTGTGCTAAGCACATGTGTGGGAATGCATTGTGTAGTGTGAGAAAGCATCATGCCTCTGGCATGATTCACAGGAAAGTCATAGATAGTGAGTCATGTGCTGTACCAATTGTCATGAGTTGTAATATGCATGATCTAAGCCTAGAGCAATCTCATTCTCTACAGTGTGTGTATAGGCTGAGTGAGGGAATGATATAGGGAATGATGCTGCAAGTTCATGCTGTGAACTGTATGCAGATACATCACAATATAGGGCTCTATGGGCATACAGAGACATGAGTCTCTACACCAGCATGACACAGTGGAGTTTCAAAATATGCCTGCTACTTACCAACACGTCTGTCATTCCGCACAGCTTTGAGCCAATGCTTGAGTGTGCTCAAGGGTAATGGATTCTTAAGCATTCACCTCTGAAGGACAATCCAACAGCCCTGCATTAGCACCAGGGCCCAAGATGTCAATTTGATGACAAAGCAAAACTGTTCTTACTGATGCCCTAGTGAGCTATCTAGCCACTCACCCCTCTAATTGTAGGATTCTATTCTATTCAGATAGGAAGAAAAAGATGGTAAATGTTGATGATAACCCCACAGGCATATGGAAAGTCTAATGTCTGTGCTCTCAAATCAGTGTCACACATTCATTTAAGGGCATAGGACCCTGTACACTGCTGGCATTATAATATTAGCTTTGGAGTGATGCAGTTAGACATTTCATGTATCATGGGGATCCACACTTGACACCAGGTTCAGTGGTCTGAATTGTACAAGAAAGCTAAATAGTATATTGAGACTATTACCATTCATCTGTGAAACTATCATCATCTTCACAGTCTGAGAACTCTGAGACAACCAAGCTAGTAAAGGTTCAACAACTCTGCTGGCTTACAAAGCAAAAGAAAGAAAGATGGCTCTACCTCTGGGGTGAGAGAAAAGCCTCTAACTCTCTAGGTGTTGGTCAAAGTGTGCTGAGTGATATGTTTGACCCTTAGGGAAAGCAAGGAAAGCAAAGATTCATGAAGTGACACCAGGTCAACTCTGGCAAAGTGTGATGAAAGTGTGTGCAGGAATATGAAGTGTGTAGGTGTGTGAAGCATGGGAATAAGACACATGCAGTGTGCAAACATATAAAAGACTGACAGATGTTGTGAAGACGTGAACTGAGAGTGCTGAGAGGAGATAATGATGATGGACTGTTGCTGAGGACTAGGGCAACACCTAATGGATGCTAACTCATGATGATGGATTCTGACTGCTAGATACTAACTGACATGATGGTGGTCACTTGCCTAGCAACAGGTAAGCTGTACCTAGGCATGCTCCTAGGGCTTGGAAGTAAACAGGGAGCACTGTATGTATGTAAGTGATGTAAGCAAGGGTCCATGACAAAATAATGTCATACAAATGCTAAATATGGTCTGATAGTGAGAATAAACAGAAAAGGATGCACCAGGAAACTGGTTGGATGATGGATGGAGGCTCTAGGATGCTGCATCACATAGTGCAAGAAAGTGTCGTGCCTCTGGCACATTTTGTAGGAAAGTCAGAGAGTGAGTGATGCACTGTACCAATTGTTGTGAGTCAAAATATGCATGATATATGCCTGGAGGAATCTCATTCTCTACACCAGCATCATCCAGTCCAAAGGCTTCCTTAGCTCCTGTCAATTCTGGCTCATTATCCCACTCAAGGATGTCCAATTGATGATGATGTCCAGTATCTAGAAGATATCATGTTTCCAACATGGATCATGATGAATAGCAACACATACCCATGCTGAGTCCTCCATTCACACCCCCCATATAACATGCATTGTTGGATTCCTCATGTGCAGGTAAGTCCTGATAATTATCCAACAGTGGGATAACTTCTTCATCTTCACTGTCTAGGAGCTCAATCTGTGGTGGCAGCTCATCAGTGCACTGCAACATTTTCAACAACTGGAAATAAATCTCCCAAGCCAATTGCTGTGTAACTGCTGGGCAACCCAATCCATCATAGAACTGTGAGATACATTCTCTGAACACCTCAGGAACCAGATCAAATACTTGATGTGAAGGCTTGATGTAGGTACTTCATACATGGTCTAGGGCCTCTTGTTCAAGTTGAATCTGTGTACAGGATTGATATTGGAATACTGTTGACAGTAGTGGTGATATATGTTATGAACCTTGAAATCCAAAGCACCAAAGTCTTCAGCTGCCTCATAGATAATATTTGGGATGCCATGTGGGAGAATCTGGATGAAAACATGAAAGATTCAATGATATGATAGTACTACAGAGCAAGAAAATGTACCTTGTTGTGGTTGAGCCATTTCATAGAGTTATTGATGCGATCCTAATAAGCATTAGCTCCTGCTGGAGCTGTGGAATAAAGACCCAACAGAAATTCAGTCTGAGCAAACATTTGAGCTGCTAGTGATGACATGGGACCTGAAAACATGACTCACACTTGAATGATGTTGTTAGTGTCATGCCAGCCTGCATTGACACCATGATTCACTGGTAGACTCTCAAAGCCTGGGGTAAAACAGTGATGTAGTTGATACCATGTAATCTCTGGCATGATGTTTTTCTTGCTTTGCATCTAGTGATGCTAGAGTGTGCCATGCAAGGCTGGGTCATGCCATTGCCACAACATCATGTGAGTGTTTGCAATGCTGAAATTCTCAGAACCAGGGTCACTTTGTGTTATCATAGGCATATCTATGAAATAAATCAGGCTACTGGGCCCCATGAACAATGCAAATTAACTTATGGCCAAGTTCCTTAAGCATATCAAGGTAATAGGAAAGAATCAACTGTGGATTTCTGTAAGAGTGCCAGACTTAGATCCACATAATATGGCCAGAGAATGGCTCAATACCTATATGCAGCCCCAGACCAAAATTAAGCCATTTATTGTGCTGATTGGCTGCAAACAAGTCATTCACACCAGCAGCCCAGAATTACCTTCTTCAAAGGTGATGTGCCTTATGCTCACAGACAAGATCAGGTTCAAACACAGCAAAGTATGATATTATGACACTCCTAAGATAAAAAAGAGTCAGCAACCTGATGCAGTATAGTCAGCACAGTCATATCACCTAGCTACACTTATATCCTGCTCATGATACAGTAAGCTTGCCAATTTGCATGCTCCCACATTCAGATAGATCACATGTAACTCAACCATTGCATTGTGGATAGACTCAATAGTATGCACTTGCTGATAGGTCTGTTGAAGGCCCATTGCTTTGTGGATTTTGGAAAATTTGGTATGTCTAGTGTTTAACATTACATTATGTGTGAGGAATAAAAACCCTGTGACTTACCTGATGTCTGTCATATCCCACAATCCGGACCCACATTCCATCATATTCCCACGCCTTCTGAGCCTACATCCAGACCCCACTTCATATCCAACTCATTCCCAGGTCCCCTTCCGCTGTGTGCTCCACACCTCAGCAGGATCAACTCTGTTCCAGATTTACCCCTGAGCTCCAGACCATCAGATCTCCACTGTTAGCCTGATCCATACCCCCCTGTCCCATCCACCCTATGCACACTCCATCCAGCAAGACATCCAGACTTCACCTCATCTCGGATTCTGGACTATATCCACCTTCTCATATTCTGGTCCTGTATTCACCTTGTCTTCCAGATTCCCAGATCTCTGGACCTCCGGATATTAATGCTGGACCTATTCCCACCCTCTGTCCAATATCCTATGCCTATCCCCATTTAGGCATCTCCACCTTTCTGGCTTTTGGTTACCTCTTCTTTCATCTTGCTTATTGATCCTTGTACAAGTCTTCATCTCCGAGTTCATTTAGTTATGTTCCATCTTACTTACTAATGTGTTTCCACATGCTTGTACATAGCCTTGCTCCTTTGCTTACTGATCCCCTCAGATGTTGTCCAGTATATAACCCCTGTAGATACTCCTGTAGTTCCTCAGTTTGAATATCAACTTAGACTTGCCCAATCCTCTCTTGGACTTTGGTCCACCTAAGTCTGTCCTACCCATCAGACCTAGGGATTGATTCCCTAGGCTGGAGCTCCACCTTTCTGGCACTTACCATCTTTCTGGACTTAGGTCCAATCCTTGTCTCTCTAACTCTACCTTAGGGTAGTCTACCTCTGTTTGTTTCTGTATCGGACTCTGTCCAATGTAGCCCCTATTCCTTCTGGACCTCTGGACCTCTGGACCTCCTGTCCTGTGCACTTCTGGGCGTCCTGTCCTTTGGACATTCCACCTTCTGTACCTTCAGATGTCTCATCCTCTGGACCTTCAGATGTCCCATCCTCTGGACCTTCAGTCCTCCTGTCCTCCATACCTCCAGACATCCTGTCCTCCTGTCCTCCATACTTCTGGACCTCTGGACATCCTACCCTTCCATCCTGTTTCCTGTAGAAGTACTACCTTGCAGTGGGAACTCTCCTGAGCACTTCCTGCATTCCTCTGGAACTCTCCTATGCTCCTCCAGAAGTCCTCCGGACTTCATCGGACCATCATTGGACTTCCTCTGAAATGAAGGGCACATACTTGGGTAAGGAGCACAGTGTATGAGCTGAGGCCAAGCCCCTCTGAGTTTGTCTCTCTCTCCTTTGAGCATGGTTCTTAACAGATCCTGTGTTATCATCTAGGTTCCTCATATGACCACACTGTATACAAAGCCAAAGTGGTAGGACTCACCCTAGCAGTTCAATTGTTAGCCATAGAGGATAACATCTTGTCCCCCATCCCCATCTTCAGGGACAACCAGGCCACTATCAAATCCAGTGATGTTTTTTCAATAAAATCAAGACACTATTTGATCAACCACTTTTGCAGTATGATAATAGATTTGAAGAAGGCCTGTCATGACCATTGGTTCAAAATTATGGTTAGATGGATATCAGGGCATAACAGAGTGGTATGAAATGAGCTGGCAGATCAGAAGGCCAAGCAAGCAGCTGTATCACATATGGAATCCAGCCCCAGACAGCATCTCCCCCCTTACCTTTGCAAAAGTGTTCTTCCTTGCAGTATATTGGCACTAGAATAAGCACAAAAACATGAATCATTTGAATGCTGGGCAAGATTTTGGAAAAATCACCTCAATATGAATGGACTGTCAGTCTGGACCCCAATATTCTTTAAGGATCACTTGTCTCACTTACTCAGCACCTCCCAAAATGACACATCAGCATGCTCCTCTGGCTCCATACCAGACATGTCTCTCTCAATCAGCATCTGTTCTATATTGGCAAGAGCCCCACACCTAACTGGCCACACTGTGAAGACACAGCAGAAACAATAGTACACTTCCTATCATCCTGTCCTCACTATATGCAAGTGCATCATGTCCTCACCTTCACTCTCTGTCATCATGCTTCCTCATTATCATTCTTGCTGTCCAATCCCAAGGCAAGTACACCACTCATTCAATATGTCAACAGTATGGGTCATTTATGAACAACCTTCAGTAATGTCTTCCCCAAACCTCATAAAGATAGATAATGATTAGCCCTTTCCACATAAGTAGATCCAGAGTAGACCTCTCACATGAAAGGCAGGTGCAGGTCACCAGCCTTCAAAACTCTCACTCAAAGATGACAGAAAATAGGACCCCATCAGGGAGATTATGACAGGAGTTGTTTGAGAAGGAATGGAAAACTATTTTTGATGAGAAAGGACAAGGGTGGATCATCACAGTTGCTAATTCCCTAGTGCCCACCCACCTGGCCCCTCAGTGCACTTGCAGCATGATATTTTCTCCCCTGTTATGCCTATAGACTCCACTCTCCATTACTTCCCTCATACCTGGTGTTACACCCAAATATATGTATCATCCACAGAAAATGCCAGGGACCAATCTTTCAAAAACTGCACAGTAATGGCCCATGGATTGGAAGACTCACACATCTAAAACAGCTGGCAGGAATGGTGGACTGGTGGGAGTCATCCCTTTACCAGGGCACTTGCAAAGTTGGAGATGCAGCAGGGACACAAGTGTTCCCCTTTTCTAGTTAGTAATGTCCTATGTAGGGTACTGTACCCCATGTGGACATGAATTGGATTTTTTCTAAAAAAAAAAAGGACATGGAGTGGATGAGAGAGGAGACTCAAGTCTGGACAGACAGGAATGAGCAAGAACTAAGTTGATATTTGAACTAAGGTGACAACAAATGATACAGGAGTTTATATACTGTAGATAACTAGCATAGGATCAGTCATCCAAGTCAGCAGGCTACTATACCAGTGTGTATAGAGGTAACCTGCTGGGTCAGCATGACACCTGCACTCATGCAACCCAAGCTCCATGATGCATTACCCCACCTAAAATAGGCAACTTCTCATTGTTGCACACACAACTATGAGAAACAGGAAGAACAATGTTACAGCCAGAAAACAATGTTCTATAGTAGTCTAGTTGTATGAATAAAACAAGCAACAAATTTTTGATATAAGCAAGTGGTAGATGAAGTTTTGAAAGCTTAAACATGCCTACCACTACTACTGCTAAAACTGGATTACAATTCTCTCTCATTGCTCATATCAATCACATTGGCATGCAACTCAAATACTTGTCTCAAAGCCTTACATTCAAGCCTGCAAACTCAACATATCAATTTGGTTTTGATAAAGATGATGTACAGGAAGAAGGCCTGTTTTACGCATTCAATTGCAATCTTGATGTTTGTTTTTCCACACACCAACTATGAAATGGTAATCCACTTGTCATTCACTGTGGAAACAACAAAATAGCCAGACTGGGATAGAGTGGAGTTAGCAAGCTTATGCAGATAATAACTTAAACCTGTAAAGAAAATATGTTACATCAGAATTAGATCACAAGAGACACTCGTTCCAGGGCATAATGTAAATCGTGATTTATGAGTTTCAAAGGGCTTGGTTTGTTGCCTGGGTGCCTAATCTGATGTGGAATCAAATCAGAATTCTAGGATCCTCACATCTGTTTTCTGTCAGGATTTAAACAAAAGCAGGTCTGATTATACTCTAGGTAGACATAATGAGGACTGCTTCTAAAATGCTTTCCTCACCAAATCCCGCTCGTCCATGCAAAATGATGAGCGAGCATTTGTCCCCCACCAACCAGCAGCCATGTTTCCCACCAACCAGGGAACCCAATGACGTCCCAGTGGTGTTGTGGGTCCAGTAAGTCAAGAAAGCCATCAACCAGCAAATAACCCATACCCTCAGCCATACAATGTGAGACCACCTCAGTTGTCACCGCTACCTATTGACAATGGAGCCTTGCCTCATGATGACCCATTTCTCGTGCATGGACAGCCAAACTCTGGACTGAATGCACTGCATCAGTTCAATAATAACTCAAACGAGACACCTTACTGTGGTCACAATCCTCACCCACCATTTGCATACAGTGATCCACCATTGCGTGCCCAATCAGTTGCCCCCCAAGTTGGAGGAACTCCACATAGTGGCTATCAACCATTGTTTTCAGTACCAAACCAACATGAACAGCTGGCTCACCCATACCAATGAGGTTACAGCAACAGTCCAGACCAATCTCCAGGACTTAATGCTGTGATCGCACAGCTGCTTGCAGAGGTCCAATGCCTATCAGAACCAATGAACCTGCAGCATGTCACAAATAACCAGCTGCTTGCCTTGAATCAGCAACTTGAAAACTTGAATCAACAGCTTGTTGAATCAAACCAACAACTCACCATGCATGTCAAAGCAATTGAATTGATCCAAGCCAAGAGTAAGAAATGATGGTTGCTTTCCCTCACTGACCGTTTCATGTTTGAACTTTGAAGAGCTTGCCTGTGCCTTACATTTTAATTTAGTTCCTGCGAACAGTGCATACTAAAGATGTCTTACCTGTACTGGTTGTTGGTTGAGGTCTTCACTCTTGGGCTCTGTGACACTATCATCCTCTTGAGTGGAAGTTGGCCTTTTGAGGGAGACTTTGGTGGGGCAGTTATGGTCAGAGACTTTAATTGCAATCTCGATGGTCTAATGACAGGTATGTGAGCCAATGAAACTGTAACTTGAAAATACGTACCATGGGGCCAGCCTCCTGCCTACCAAAGGTAAGAGATAGTTCTTTAAAATCCTCCGGAACCATAAGCTTGATGATTTGGCCTACTTGACTTTGGTTCATGGTAACTTGTGGGGACTTAGTGAAAAAAGCTGTTAGAAGCTCACCTGAACATGTCAAGGGTCAGAATTTGAACATAAACACTTTTCTGAGGTGGGTTGCAATAGAGGTACAAAGTATAAAGAGAAGAAAATTATGGTCTGGAACAAGCACACTTCCTGACCCGAATATGGTTTGCTTACATGTGTCGAATGTAATGAGATGTCTATTTAGATTCAGATTTATTTTTCACCCACACCTCAGAGTCTCAGAAACTTCACAAGTCAGGTTTTAGTCTACTTTACAACTTGGGTTGGTATTAGCTCGGATTATACCCATAATCAGGGTTAGTTTTACCCCTGGCTAAAAAGTTGTTTCTGCAGTGATTGTTGAGCACATGAATTGTTTTGAGAATTTGATAAAGATGTTCAAATGACTGCCCAAGGAATCATCACCTGCTGATTGAACTTTCATTTGTGACATCTGACTTGAGTGGTTAATCAATGCCACTAAGGCTGCACAGGCCAATATCCAAAAAAAGTAAGTTATCATTGTCAGTATATGCCTGTGACTGAAGGTAATTAAATACCAGGAGACAAGCAGCAAGCTTTTCCAACACAGAGAGCAATGATGATGTCATTATACTTTCATCTTTACCATGGAAGTGACTCCTCCAATTGCATCAGAGTCATCATTACTCATTCAAGTTAATCATCCACTGAATACCATGGATAACAAGACCCCTGTAGTGTGTATGCCTCCAACTCTCAAGCAGCAGACTCTGTTTGGACTAGAATAGAAGAAAATCATTGGCAAGGAGCTCAGAATGCAGACCCTACAAGAATTTGAGATTGCTTGGAAGGGGATTGTTGCCAGACAAGAGTATGAGGAGAATGAGGTAAGAGCATGAGAAGAGAAGAAGTGGATGGGGAATAGGGAATGGCAGTAGCATTACTGAAAGAGGCTGTGTATAGATTGGATTGTAGATAAAGGAGCTGAGAGACATGAGAACTTGAAGGAGAAGCTCATTGGCCATCAGCACAGTGTCCAAGAGATTGCTGATCTATCTGCTATGCCACAAGAGTCAACAGGCAGCTGGAAATCACATTGAAATGGCAAGCAGAAGTTCAGCACACTCAAAATGATGAAAGAGGTGAGTAAAGCCTGTGTTTGTAGCAATGAAACACACACTAACTACACATAGCAGTGGATGCAGTTTATCTTAAAACCATATGCCAAATATGTGATTGAAGAAAATGAACTTCTGGATGATCAAAAGTCAATTCTCCTCCTTGATTGCTACCCAGTGAAGGCGAGGAATTTGGATGTGATGATGGGGGAAACTAATGACAAGAACTCTTCAGAGCTCCTCTGGACATGAGTCAAACTTGACCCAAGGGAATTGCTACTGAGAAAGGATTCCTCTAAAGATTTAAAGATTTGAGGAGGAATGCCAAGAACTAGCTCTCAACAGAGGACCTGGTGAAACATGAGTATGAAATGCAATGATAAGGGCCAAAGTGTACTGGATGCATGTTAAGGTTGTACTCAAAGGGTAACTGGATCCAAAGGGCTTCAGCCTCAGCTCATGTGCTGTGCCCCTTACCCAAGTATTGCCCCTTATTTCAGGAAGGCAAGACTAGTGCATCTGGAAGGTTGGACAAGTAGCATAGTGGATCTGGATGACTTCTGGATGAGGGTTAAGTATTGTAGGGCTAATCCGGACGAGTCCAGACTAGAAATTAATGGTAATGGACTGTTGGAGACAGAGGCGGATACGGATAGACTATAGGAATCAATCCTAAGTCTTGGAGGGTGACAAGAGTAGAGATACTCAAGTCCAGAGGACAGGAATGAGCAGAACTAAGATGATATTCAAACTGAGGTACTACAGAAAGTTACAGGAGGTTATATACTATAGGTATCTAATGGAATGATCAATCAGCAGAGTCTGAGGCTATGTATGAAGCATGTGGATAGTCTATTGGTAAGTAGAAATGGTTCACAAATCATGAAACAGAAATGAAACATAAGTAGCGGATAAGGGAGCAGGACAGATATACAGATAACCAAAATACCGGAGTTAGGGGGTTACCAAAAGGAGATGAGTGCTGGTTGTGGATTTGGATAAGTTGTGGACTGGACCGGACGAGTGGACAGGTTGAATGACGAGATGTTGGAGGGAGATAAGATGTGGATAGGATCAGAGATAAGATGTGGATCTGAGATGAGATAAGGGTTGGATCTGAGATCCAGATATGCAGATATGACAATGCAACAGATATGTGAAAATGCATGCCTCATGACTAGATGGACCTAGCCTCTAGATCTTAAAGTGGACAATAATGCTCTCTCCCTTGAATTGGTGGGAGATGATAGAGAAAATGTGATTTTTAGATGCTGGTGTGTGAAAGTTGATAAGGTGATTCTCAATTCAGTTACTAGCTGCTACTCTGAGGGATGCTTGTGGAAGGGAAGTGACTAACTAAAAATTTACCTAGAGACATGTAACATCTTGTAAGCATGTTACCAGGCTTTGGAAGTGAATAGGCAGTGGTAAATATTGTAAGTGATGTAACCAAGTAAAAATAATGAAACAGTGAGTAACTGTATACCATTGTTAAGAATCATGCTCAAGGGAGAGAGAAACTGACTTAGAGGGGCTTGGCCTCAGCTTGTATGCTATGCCCCTTACCTGAGTATGTGCCCTTTATTTCAGATGAAGTCCAAAGGACTCCCAGAGGCTGGCTACTCTGGTGGAGCATGGGAGGATTTCCAGAAAAGCACAGGAAATATCCAGAGGAGCATGGGAGAGTTCCAGAGGAGTATAAGAAGTTCTCAAAGGAGTTCTTACTACATAGGAAGTGAAGAGACCCCAATGTAATACCTCTAGAAGAAACAGGATGGAAGGATAGGAGGTCCAGAAGGAATAGGGGCTACATTGGACAAAGTCCAATGTAGAAGCAAACAGAGGTAGACTACCTTTAGGTAGAGTTGGAAAGACAGGAAGTGAACCAAAGTCCAGAAAGAGGGTAAGTGCTGGAAAGGCAAGACTCCAGCCTAGGGAAGCAATCCCTAGACTTGAGACAGAGACATGAAGGACAAATCCAAAGATCTGGATTTCCAGCCTAGGGAATCCACCCCTAGGCCTTATGGAAAAGAACAACACTCAGATGGACTGAAGTCTGGAAGAAGATTGGACAAGTCTAAGTTGATATTTAGACTGAGGACTCTACTAGAGTTGTATAGGGGTTTTATACTAGAGGATATCTGAGAGGATTAGTAAGCAAAGGGATAAGGCTATGTATGAGCATATGGAAACACATTAGTAAGTGAAACAGAACATAAGTAAATGAACTTGGAGATGAAACTAGTACAAGGATCAATCAGCAAGATGGAAACTGAGATAACTGAGAACTGGAAAGGTGGAGAATCTTGGACACAGGGTGGGAATAGGTCCACAGATAGTAACAGTTAATATCTGGAGATCTGAGGATCCACAAGGCAAGGCAGAAACAGGACTGAGATTTGTGAGGAGGTAGATGTAGTCTGGAATCTGAGGGGAGGTAAAGTCCAGGTGTCTTGCTGGACAGAATGCACATAGGGTGGACAGAATATGAGTGTATGGATCAGGCTAGTAGTGAAGATCCAGAGCTTAGGGGTAATTCCATAGCAGAGCTAATCCTGCTAAGATATGAAGCACATGGTGAAAGGGAATTTGGGAATGAGTTGGAGGTGGGATCTGGATGTAGGCTTGGAAGGTGTGGGAATATTATGAGATCTAGGTCCAGCATACAGGATATGACAATCATATATGGATCTGTGATATGTGATCAGAGTAAAAATAGATGAAACACATACCAATAGACCTTGGAGGATGAGGACAGGACATGTGGATGGTTAGTGACAGGGATGTGAAAGTATACCAAAGTGTGTAACATCATGAATGCTGCGCATGTATCACTCATCTTGGAGGGCCTCAGTGCAAAGACCAAATTGCAAAAATGCACCTATTATATGCCTGTAGAGAATAGAGTCTCTATACTGGTGCACATTGGCAAAGAATTTTGAGTCCATGTTTTCAAGGAATTCCCTAACATCTTTCTCATTGTTATCCCTGCCAATTGTAAGTTGCAGAATCATTGTTTTCTACCAGTATTACTGAACATTGATTCACTGTAGGTACAGGCATTTTCTAGCCAGCAGATGTAGGACTGCAACGTGTCATCAAACACTTTCTACATCAAGAAGCACTGCAATTCCTTGTAGACAGCCATGCAGCTCAGATCAGATCAAATTCACAATATCATTACCAGTTCTTCATAATGCCTCTGTTCAACTTGTTGTTAATGTCTGGAATTACATGCAGATTTCAAACAGCAGCAAGCTTGTGTAAAAGGTAGTTCAAAAAAATGTGATATGTATGTTATACTAACACTAGTATCACCAGGCATGGGCAAAATGTACTGCAAATGAATGGAATCTGTCTGCCAAGTGCCTTACCAGCAAAAAGGCAAAAGCTGCACTGGGTGAGTTCATGAAGAATAATGCTGACTTCTGTGCAGAGATTAATGTGAAGATTGGAGATGTTTATTGAATTGAGGAAGAGAACCCAATGGAAGATGTTGATGTGCACAGTGACACTGATGTTCCCTTGTGTTTGGACATTTTTCAGGCAGTAGGGATAGAATTACCCAGTGGAAATGGTCTTGTAGGGCAGGGCTATTGTGTGGATCCTGCCATGCTCATAGAAGATGAAGACACAGGATTCTATCACTCAGGAGGTGACATGAAAAGCATTTGGGCTCATTGAGAGGATGGAAAATCATGGGAGGAAGCCCTGCAGTGCTAGATTACAATTGCTTTGTGACATACTCTGCACTTATACAACCCACCCACTGTTATACATTACAGTACATGAAATAAGCAACTATGAGGATGTGTGCTGCATGTTATGGTTGCATCCATACATACCAGTACAGTATATGTAGTGCATATGGTCAGCTTTTAAAAAAAAATCCAATTATTGTCCATGTGAGGTACAGTACCCTATGTAGGACATTACTAACTAGGAAAAGGGGGATACCTGTGTCTCCTGCCATGTCTCTGACTTTTCAAATACCCTGGTAGAGGCTATGCCTTTACCAGTCTGCCATTTCCACTGGTTGTTTTAGATGTGCAAGTCTTCCAATCTATAGGACCATTGCTATACAGTTCATAAGGTGATGGTCACTGTTGTTTGTTGTGGATGATACAAGTACTCAGGTGTGAAACCAGGTACAAAGGGAATAATGGAGAGTAAAGTTTAAAGAAATGAGAGAAGGGTATATCTTGCTGTGAGCATGCTAATGGGCTGGTTGGGTGGATGCTAATTTGTTGGCAATTAAGATAATTTACCCTCATCACTTTTCCTCACATTAAATATAAAACCTATGAACCACTTCCACTCATCCGACTTCTTCTAAGTTCTCCATTCAGGTCACTGAAAGGGTCCTATTCCCTGTTGTCTTCAAGTAAGAGATATATGAATAGGTGGCCTGCTCCTGTTGTCAATAATAAAAGTTATGTTGAGATTATCTGTATGAAAGTGGCTAATCATTATTTGTTCTTACTGCTTGGTGGAGGTATATTACCAAATGTAGCATGCATATGACTGGTGCTGTTGACATAGTGAATGAGCAGGGCACTTGCTTTATGATTGGACAGCAAGAATAGCAGTGAGAAGGCACATCAATGAAGAATTGAAGTGAGAATGTGACATGCTTGCACATAGTGGGGGCAGGAGAGTAAGAGGTGGAGCACTGTTTCCTCCATGTCTTTACAGTGTGGACATATGGTCAGTTTATTAGTAAGTGCAACTGATCAAGTAAGATGAAACTGGATATGAAAACAAAGGATGGATCAGTAATCAAAGCAGATATGTATACAACCAGATACTGGAGATAGGGGGTGTCTATATGTGGAAGCATGCAGGATTAGGTTTGGGTCCAGAAATAATGGAAAGAATTGGTATGGACATAAAGTGGAAATGGTCAGGGATCCAGATCTGGATGTCTGGATATGACAAAAGGACAATACATCATGGTTCCAATGGATAGGCACTGTCTGCCCAAACTCAATTACCATCAGGCAGAAAATTAGCACACTTTATATAGAGGCAAGTAGATTGAAAAGCAAATGCATCTTGGACACTTCCAGGATAACTAAGAGAGTGGTCAACAATCAGGAGGTTATAAGACAAAATGACTACCTAGAATTAAATTAGTTTTTACACATGAAGATGAAAAAAAATACCTGATAGCCAAGGGAATACTTAGACTTCATATTATAAAATGTCTTATCATAATAACCAGATTTCATGAACAGATCCATGATTGAGCCATCAATGGCTAGAAAGCCATCTCTCCACTCTGGACAAGTATGTGACTCAGCAAATTTATAAGCTAGGTCACTATCCTTAGAGTCACCTGCTAGGAAGCAGATAAACTGATCATGGGCATTAAGTACTACAACTATTACACAATTAGTGCAATTGACCACTGACCTGATGCTCATACCTACCCATCGAGTGATATCCTCAAAAGTAATGGTATTGTCATAGTGGCCTGCATGATTCAGAAAAATAGCAAGCTGGATGGAGATGGGAAGCTGGGAATTGTCAGACTGGTTCTAGAAAATAGGGTAATTAGAGATATGATTGAGAATATCATCAGAGATCTCTCAGTTGACACAAAGCTTCTGCTGAAACAAGTGAGGATGGTGTCATAGACATTCTGGCTACAGCCTTGTATGACCTGGTTTTCATACTGATGATAGACTACCTAAGATATGTCTCCCTTTTTTATTTTCCTTAGATTAAGGTTCGCACTTTTGCTGCTTACATAATTATCTTCCCTTTACCTAGGACTTTACAGTCATTACCTAGTTTTACCTGGTTTCCAGTTCTTGGTTGATCCCTATTCACCTGGGTTATTTAGTAGCATCACCTAGTTGCAGCCTTTCTAGTTATAGCTTCTCAATTTACCAGATAGCTCCTGGAACACATTTTCTGTCCTTAGTTTTGCTAGACCTTTTTCACTCCCTACCTTTGAGCCTCAGCCTAATCAGTGATCCCTTTGGGTTGTATGTTCTTGCTTGCAGGAGTAGTAGCTAGGAAGAGCACTAGATTGACTTACATTTTTGACTGGTCTATTGAATTAGCAGGTCAGACATACTGTTGTGTCACCATAGTGGTGTTCCTCATAATGAACTAGCATATGAAGCTAGGGTGCTTATGAAGGAGGCTCATCAGGCACAGCAATATTATTGGATTCATATCTGAAATTCCTATCATAGGAGAGAGGGAGGATGGGGGGCCAGAAGACAGACTGATAGTATCATCATCATCTCAAGTAGCAAGTGAGTCCAAGTCAGAGTTGGTATCAAACTCAAAGTCTGACCAGTTATTGAGGATATCCTGATACTGCAACTTGGCTAATAAAAGTATAGCCTAATTAACAGCATTTAAGATGTGTTTATATGTGGATTGATAAGGCATAGTGCTAGGAAATTCATGGTATGATATCTTATCAGCTTATCTGATTTCCAACTGATCTATTGGAGTTTAAATCTCAGCTACCATTAGCATGCTGAGTCATTAATTTCCACCAGACTGTTACTAACATCTGTGTTACTCATTCTCACTTGCTGCTCCCTTGCCTGCACCTGTCTTTACTTGTCTTGGCTTGCCTTCATTTGTCTAGACTTGCCTATACTCACTTTCACTTGCCTAGACTTGTCTGCATTCATTTAGACTCACCTAGACTTGTTTGTATTTGCCTGTGTTTCTTGCACTCTTTTGGACTTGCTTGGGCTTGTTTGAACTTGCCTGAACTTGTCTGTGTGTCTGCTCTTGCCTGTACTTCCACTCCTCTTATTCTGGCACCTTTGGGTGTTGCTCACATATGTTCAAGTCATGTCAGCATTCACCAATATGCACTGGCAGCTATTGGAATTGAGTCAGTCTATTGTCCATTAGTCACATAACAAATATGGTATACACTGTCAGACTATTCAAGCTTTAGCTCTCATTCACACTGACTGTCCTTGACCCAGCCTGTTCACAATCATGTGAATTTAGCTAAATGTCATGGACCAGGCAAAGATAATACAAATGAAAAAATATATAAAGATATGTCTCCTGAGTCTACCCTAGCTAACTTGAAATGGAGACAATATGTGGAAGAGACCTTTAAAATTAGTGACTTGGAATCCCAGGTATTAATAAAACTCCTCTACAATGTTCTCTGCATCCTATAAATCTTTTAAGCAGAGCCATTCTACCTCTGGCACTAGGAAAGCCACAGTAGAACCTCAAAAGAAAAAAAAAAGCTTGTAGCTAGAGAATAACATATGAAGTTAAAGTGGGTTGTATCTTATATACCTGAGACCACTGTTCCTCAAGGTAAACCCTTCTCAAAACATGAAGAAAGATACATTAACCAATATTCACTTATTTTCTACTTGGCTAATAGACAGACAAGTTTAAAGATCATGGCTGCCAGTGAAAGATGTCAAGTGGTTTTATTGCCTGGTACTTAAGAGCAGTTAGAATTATCTGACTTCATAATAGGCAACCTTTCAGATAGTGGTGAATCAGATAATCCTGATACTGGCATGACCCAGTTTCCAGTCCTGCAAATTCTTTCAGGTCTTCAGATTCACTTCCTAGTTGTCCTCTCCCTTTGCAATGCAATGGATAAAAGCTAGTGCTATCTGATAGTAGTGACTTAGAGCACTATTCAAAGGGGAAAAATACAGATTTTGGTAAAGCACTGAATAGGGAGTGAGAGAGATAGTCTTAGGGAAAGCCAAATGGGAGGCAGATCATACTGAATGGGAATGTGTTGTAATGATAGAGAGGCATGAGGCAATTGGATTATTGTGATGTGTAGTCACTCTCATTCTTAAATGTTACTGAGATCAAATGAAGGCTATCAATAAATATGTGCTATGTAGCATCACTGGGTACCCTGGGTTTAGTGATGATAATTAATTTCAATAACCTGCTGCTGAGCAACTATAGAAACCTCAGTGAGTTAGAGTGGGTGTATAACAGACTACAAGACCTATGACAGGACTCACCACAGTATAATTGTTAGGGCAACATCTCAAAACAATGCAAAGCCAGTCATCTCTATCTGGAGCCACCAGTGAGACAATCTTGGAATGGCACATCCACTAGGGAAGGCTCTCAAAGACTTTGTGCACAGAATCATACAATTAGCTATAGTAATGGCTCTGCTTACATATGTTAGCCATGTTGTCTGTCATATTTCATATCAAGCTGCAATGTGCTGACTTACCTGATATGCAGTGTGTTACAATGAACACATCAATCTCATTCAAGTCACTGTGGAATATCCAGCAGAACTTGGCTTGACCACATGACCCAATGAATGATGATATTTATGTCTGGGTGGGGCAGTATATTGAGCACTGAGGGGAGATGATAGGGATCTCAAATGAAAATAAGTTATGCACTGGGTGAGGAAAGACCAGAACATTATCAAGCATGGAGATGGTGCATGGCAAGTCACAGGCTGTGATTCTTCTCAGTATTTAGTATGGAGTTGCTGTAATGAACATATCCAATCAATATAGGAAAATTGAGTTGTGTATGCAGGTGCAAAATACCATCTTCATCATGATTGCAATGTGCAGGCAAGTGCTGGCCCTTGACTTCCTGAGCATGCATAAGGTTATATATATAATTAGACACTTTTGTTGTCATTGCTTTTCAGACATACTGATCTCATGGCACAAACACATAAAAAATTCAAAAAAAACTCAAGTCAATATGCTATACAGTTCTATACAGTAGACTGAACTAACAAATACTGCCTGGGTCAGTGATCCAGATGGCAAAAGTTTGGAAAAGACTCAAATCATAACAAGGGTAGCCATTATATAGTGAACAACTACATAATTAAACACCACTGGAGAATTTCTGATGTGCCCCATACACATATGTTTACATAATAGCTGGGTTTCAATTGTGAGAAGACCAGGCCCTGTGGTGAGTTTTCATGCCTTGGTTGTACAACTACACAACAACTGATTAATTTTATATGTAGACCATCAAAATATCACTACAAAGACCTCTCAAGCAGCTGTGGTCACAGCATAGTACTGTGGATGGTCCTGATACCAGTGAGATGGGAACTTGGAAGCCCCCAATGCTTGCCCACTGGATGACTGACCAGACAACAGTATTTTTTTTTCAATATACTTACTATCTGTTACTCAATGGACTCAAGCAGTGTCAATTGTTTCTCTTAGCAGTTGTCAAAGCAAACACTTGCGAGGTTGACGAGAGCATCACAGAACCAGAGTCTGACTTACCTGATGCGAAAAACATCAATATTGTGAGTTGTTTTGATGCTCATTTGTATTCATTTGTGATGCTGAATGACACCTACATATGTTAGACACTGACTGCTGTGGTAGATGTGAGTGTAACAAAAGCCAAGATGGACTCCGAGATAGACCCATCACAGGAGGTGCAGACCCCTATAGAATTCACTTGCTACTATCAAGCCCAACTTGCCAAGTAGTACTTATGAATAAATTTGTAGTAGGCTCATGTGACAACCTGATCTATTTGTGTGCATCCAAACATGTTGTCCCTTACTAGAGCACCCACCCATCTGTCATCATGTTTGTTTGCTGCTATTGCAAGACATCCAATTGCAAGGGTGCACTGATCTCCTACAAGAAGAAAAGGACCCACAAAAGAGCAGACCTCTGAAATCACACAATCATCATGCAAGTGCAACACAAAAGGCTTGGTACACAAGCAGGGCCTGTTCCATGCAGATTCACAGTCCCACTTCATGAACCCTCTGCACCACTATCTCCTGATGTTCAATTTCGTGATCCTGTTCAAACATCCAACTGTGCTGTTGAGCAAGAGATGCTTGACCACAGTGTATTAACAGGTGAAGATTTGGACCTCATGGTCTACAGCAGTGACTTGCCAAACCTTGGACCAAATTTTCACAGCCCTGAAGCATTGCTTGCAGCAGTGGATCATTTTTCCAAATATAATGCTGGTACAGAGGCTGGTGCACATCTCTTGACAGCACATACTGCCCATTACCTACCCCCTGATCCAGAGCAGTGCACTGTGGCCTGTTAACTCAAAAAGATGCTAGAAGAAATTTGTAATCAGCAGGAACAGGCTGATGACAACATCATCAAAGAGGAGCTGCTTGATGTGGATGCAGAATTTGAGGACTTACAGGGTTATGAAGATCCTGGCAATGCTGAACCTGAAAATGTGCTTGTAACAACTGGACAAACAAATGAAGATGACCTGGATCCTTTCATTACTGATGATGTCTTTGTGAGCTCTCTCAACACTGACCTCTCCCATGTCCCACCACACTTACTCACCATATATGCACTCACCACTTGGCTGCATCTCCAATTTCACCTGCCAAGAGCTGCTTGCAATGCATTACTTGCTGTTTTAGCTTGCTTACTCCTTGCTATATCACCAAACATTGAAACTCCATTTATTACTCTTCAGTGATTGAATCATGTTCTTTGGGTTGATGCTCCTATCCTCACACTACCTGTGTGTCCTGTATGCCACAATGTCTATCTGCCAGCATCCTCCCATCTTTCACATGATGAATGCACTGACTGCAATGTTCCTCTTTTTCTTCCCAGCCAGATGAAGTGTGGCAATGACCACTCAACAAAAACACCAATTGTCAAATATCCATACCTTTCCCTCTCCAAACAGATCAAGTCTATGCTGAAAATACCAGGCCTCAAGGCCATTCTTGATGATTGGCATTCAAAACCCCAATCAGTTGGCACATATACAGACATCTTCAATGCTGACATGTGTTGCAAAAAGCTCAAAGATCCTAACAGGCACCTTTTCTTCTCAAACAGTCCTGGTGAGAAAAGTGGACTGAATGGTGAGCTTCATATTGGCATGAATCTTGGCATTGACTGGCAATTATCTCACAGTAGCTCAACAGTTGAATGACTAATGACTTTTAATGCCAGGTTCTCATATATCCAGAGTAACATTACCTCATCTCATTCATCATGTCCAACTTCATTTTCAATATGTAATCTCCCCCTGGAGTACTGGTGAGTTTTTTCTCTATCCTTTTCTGATGCATTTTTACACCAATATATACTGGACTGCAAACCTTTTATGCATGAGCATCCTTCCTGGACCGAAGGAACAAAATCCAGAACAAATTCAATGTTTCTTATGTCCTATCATGAGTGATCTTCTGTACTTGTGGAAAAATGACATCAAGGTCCTGACTGAGTCATGTCCTGAAGGTACATATCACATTTCATAAATATGTCACTATCTAATTATGCTATCAGGGCATCTAGTTCACATGATCCTTGTTGCAGTCATATGTGATGAACCTGCAGCTCATAAGATTGGAGGTTTTGCATCCCACTTGCACACCTGTTTCTGTATGACATGTTGGATCATGACCTCCAACAAAGACAAACCCAGCGCATTCCAACCAGGGGGTAGGTACTCAAACTGCTAACTTCAATTAACAATTAAGTTGCTTTTAGTATTTCAGCCTTGCACTAACAATAAGCAACCCAAGCTTGGCAAATGATACTGTCACCTTGTCACACCAGCTGCACGGAAGAATTTTGTCAAAGAACACACTACCTGCTACACTCAACTTGCCCACCTACTGTATTTTGGTCTTGTTGAACAGATCATTATAGATCCAATGCACAATCTTTTCTTAGGTAAGTCTTCATAATATTACCCTTGCCATTTGAATACTTTACTCATGCTGTGCTTCATAGGTCTCATCAAGACTCACTTTTACAACATCTGCATCTAGAACAAGATACTTCGACCCAATCATGAGCTTACAAAGTTTCATGAAATAATTGCTGATTTCATCATCCCTAGCTCCTGTGGCAAGCTACCCACTGACATTGGCATGCTGCCTGGAGGTTCACTTACAGTGGACCAATGGCTACTACTTTCTACTGTATATGGGCCAATTATCATGAGTTGAATAGTTCAGATGTGCATTTGCTGACTTACACCTCAGATTCCTCAACTCTGGAGCACTTGTCTTCTAACTGATGCCAGCAGCAAGGTTTTAAACCAGCACCTCGATGTTATTCAGATACTGGAAACACAGAAACAGGTAGCAGCATCACATAAGGCTGACAACAGGAAATCACTTGCCAAAGTGAAGAAACAAGGCACAGATGCCTATGCCCTGCAGAAAGCTCAAATTGCACAGGAAAAGCTTGTGCTGGCTAAAGCAAAGAAGACAGCCAAACTCAAGGCAGCTGCAGCCATGGAAGCAGAGAAGCTCAGGTTAGTGGCTAAAAAGAAAGCATGCACTGCTTGGAAGGTACCAACTTTAGTGCTCAAAACTGTTGACATATGGTAATGAACATACCACAGAAGGTGCTTGGGAAGCACAAGGCAACATCTCAGACAGTTAAAGACTTACCAGAGGGCAATGTGCCACAACTACCCCCTCCCCCTCAGTTCAATCAACAAGATACTGGTGATGACTCAGAAAACCTTGATGACCTGAAGTTTTCTCTTCACCTGTTAAGAACCATGCTCAAGGGAGAGAGAGACTGACTCAGAGGGGCTTGGCCTTAGCTTGTATGCTGTGCCCCTTACCTGAGTATGTGCCCTTCATTTCAGATGAAGTCCAAAGGACTTCTAGAGTGTGAGAGGACTTCTGGAGGAGTGCAGGAAATATCCAGAGGAGTGTGGGAGAGTTTTGGAGGAGTACAGGAAATACTCAAAGGATACAGGACATATGGAGGTCTGGAAGGAATAGGGGCTACATCGGACAGAGTCTGATATAGAAACAAACAAAGGTAGACTACCCTAAGGTAGAGTCAGAGAGACAGGGATCGGACCAAAGCCTGGAGAGAGGGTAAGTGCTGGAAAGGCAAGACTCCAGCCTAGGGAAGCAATCCCTAGACTTGGGACAGAGACATAGGGGACTAATATGAAGGTCCAGAATTCTGGCCTAGGGAATCCATCTCTAGGCCTTATGGAAAAGGACAAACTCAGATGGACTGAAGTCTGGAAGAAAATTGGGTAAGTCTAAGGTGATATTCAGACTGAGGACTCTACTGTAGTTGTACAGGGGTTATATACTAGAGGATATCTGAGAGGATCAGTAAGCAACAGAGTAAGGCTATGTATGAGCATGTGGAAACACATTAGTAAGTAAAATGGAACATAAGTAAATGAACTTGGAGATGAAACTAGTACAAGGCTCAATCAGCAAGACGGAAACAGAGATAACCAAGAACCAGAAAGGCAGAGATGCCTAAATGGGGATAGGCACAGGATCTTGGACAGAGGGTGGGAATAGGTCCAAAATGAGTCAGAGGTGGGGTCCGGAAATAGGCCCAGAAGGCGTGGGAATATTATGAGATCTAAGTCCAGCATACAGGATATGACATCACCCAGATGATCCAGGCAACTTCTTGAAGTTGTGCTATGCTCTTTGTATCCTCATATAACATGTTATCTGCAACACAGAGATTAATGAAGCTGATTGATTACTTTGAGAATACACCACTGAACTTATCAAGGTGTGTCAGTTATTACTCAACTTGACCTTTGTTCTTATTGGAGCATGGTTATATGGTTCAGTCACTATAAAACCAAACCATCACTACACTACTCACATCACTGACTGTGTTCAAAATTTTGGGCCCCTCCACAACTTCTGGACCTTCCTTTTTGAATGACTCAACAAAGTACTAAAGTCATTTAAGACTAACAATCACACAGATGGTGAACTGGAGATGACATTTTTTCACAAATTCCAGTGAACATATCAAACAAGTCATTTAGTAAGCATTTGAAGTCATTTTTGTGTTTACTGTGATGTCTCACTGATTATTTAACAAGACCTTCTCTCTACCATCTTATCCTAAATATTCCCTTCTATGTGAAGCTGCCAAGATCATGCTCAAGGCATTAAGAGAGGAGTGCAGAACTGTAGCCAGACTGGCAGCTTTGTCAGAAGACTTGGACAATGTTCAAACAGATGGTATGCCTTGCTTCTCTATTCTTATATTGAGTCTAATTTCAACTAGCTATGCAAACATTTTCCTTGAGTCCATACCACAAAACATGGGTCATGTCTACTGAGACATATCATACTCTCACACATACACTCTGCTTTCACTTCCTATATACTCCAGTTCATTGTCATGGAGATGAACCACTGGTTCAAAACAGCACATCTCTCAATCACAAAGCAACATTTTATGAATATGTTGTTGTCAATGGGAGGTACTACCATGCTTCAAGAACAGTAGGGTCAAACTCTTTGTCTCTCATTCATGTCACAATCCCAAGAGCTGTCCCTGTTGCTACTTATGGCAAATTGTTGGAAATATTTCAATTTGATTGTCAATCAGGGTATTCTGTTTGGTTTGGGTGCATGTGCTGGTTCAAACCCTGGTGTGGCATGTGCAACAAAGTATGGGATGATTTGTAAGTAATTTTTTCATAGGTGACTTCACAATTAATACTAGTATATCCCAGCACATCAGTGGACATACACTTATGGGAGCTTGGAGAGTACACTGATCAACACACCCAACTGCCAGCTCTCATTGACTTGGATTGGATCACTGGCTGACTGGCAATGACAATGGTCTCAGTTGGTGATGATAGGACCAAGGTTTGGGCAACTATCATTGTCCCAAACTAATCATGCTCTGCCTCTAGATCTCATCCACAGCCACAATCAACTCAACCTTCTACTCATCATACCGACCCTTGTATGGCCATGAGCAGGCTTTATGGTTATGTGCCCAGTTCATTACTCATCTCTTTGCCTGTCCTGAATACCCTCCTTCATCTTCAAACTCCCAGGTCAAACTCCCCCATTTCATTGCATACACCCTCCACCACACTAAGTTGCATGATTTCTTACCTGAAGCTGGCTTGCAGTCACTTAGCTTGTCCAGTGAAACATCCCAAACTTTCTTGTGCATCTTTTTAGGGCATGTTAGAGCATGTGTGACCATTTTTCAGCACTTGGAGGGATATTTGGTACTAGATTCAGCATCTTGAATGGTAGGTAGGTCCATAGCTACATCCTTCACACCCTCTGAGCTTGAGTCCCTCATACTTTTCAGAGTGAGAAATTGAAGGAATGCAACACACTTTGATATGCAACATGTGTGAGTGTTAATGGTGATCTTATAGCTGCAATTGGGAACTTACATTGACACTTCGCCATTGAAATCTGACAACCCTGTTGGCAGTCTTTCCCACTCCTACCTCCTGTTGGCACATCTTGAAATCATCTGACAAGTCAGATTTACCACATGAGAGGATATCAGAGGCAAAATCAGTATTGATCATGGCAACAGCCCTATGATTACCAGTCTCTTCCTCAAATTTGATGGCAGCTTTTCACCTGGATTTAGTTACATGAGTCAGGTGAGTCCATGTCATTCAGCCTAGTGCAATGCAACACTCACATTTTGATGATGAGAGTGATGATGTCCATGATCCTTGCCTTCTTTTGCCTTCTAAAGTTTATGTACACTACTCCATTCATTGCACTGCTTATGGATATTTCTCCAGTACCCTTTCACGCACTTAGTGATAATGGGCCTAGTAAAAGCTTGGTCTGGTATCTTACCTTGGCCAGATGAATTCATGTGAATTGTCTATCAACTGGTGAGTCAATTTAATATTGTTTTCTATATGTGCTCATACCATTTCATTGTTCCAAACACAATCCATGACAGCTTGAATAAATGGCACGTTGATGTTTGAGCCAATTTTGCCTAGCCAATTTGGGTACCATACTTTGAGGCCACCCTCCTTTTGCTCACATGGTTCTCTGTTCTCTAAGGGCTCAATCATTAACAACTTGTCAACTTGCATTGCTTTGTTGAGCAACACTTCTACACTGCACAACTGGAAGAAAATTGGGTGAACAATCATCTTTCTATCATTTGTTAGTTTTCATTAATACCTGAGCTCCAGTGTCTAGCTAACCTTCAAGACAGGATGCATATTTGAAATGTTCTTGCCTGTCACATCCTTTCCTTTATTCAACTGCTCATTTTTGGCCATCTCAACCATCTTCTGCTCAACTGTGTCAAGATGCTCAAGAACTTTTTTAAGGCAATCATTAATGATTGTGTTTAGGCCAGTTTGCTGATTTGAATTTTCTGTCAGGTATGACATCTGGGATACAATCTGTGCCATCATCAAGCTATTTGTATCCGCAGATTGTTCATGTGGTAAACCTTGGTTCATGCCATATGAACCTCCAGCAACATTATTCCAAGGCTGATAATCAGCTCATGAATTAGGACACAATGTGAGCAAGGGTGATCTGCCATACAGAAACAGGTACGTCCCATTGTTATATGGTGTCCCTTGGCCAGACAACAATGCTGAACTGTCATATCCCACAATCCGGACCTACATTCCATCATATTCTCATGCCTTCCAAGCCTACATCTGGACCACACTTCATATCCAACTCATTCCCAGATCCCCTTTCACTGTGTGCTCCACACCTCAGCAGGATCAACTATGCTCTGGATTTACCCCTGAGCTCTGGACCATCAGATCTCCACTGCTAGCCTGATCCATACCCCCCTGTCCCATCCACCCTATGCACACTCCATCCAGCAAGACATCTGAACTTCACCTTGTCTCAGTTTCTGGACTCTATCCACCTTCTCATATCCTGGTCCTGTATCCACCTTGTCTTCTGGATCCCCAGATCTCCAGACCTATTCCCACCCTCTGTCTGATATCCTGTACCTATCCCCATTTAGGTATTCTCTGCTTTCCGGCTTTCGGTTACCTCTTCTTCTGTCTTGCTTATTGATCCTTGTACAAGTCTTCATCTCTGAGTTCATTTACTTATGTTCTGTCTCACTTACTAATGTGTTTCCACATGCTCATACATAGCCCTGCTCCTTTGCTTACTGATCCCCTCAGATAGTCTCCAGTATATAACCCCTGTAGATACTCCTGTAGTTTCCTTAGTTTGAATATCAACTTAGACTTGCCCAATCCTCTCTCGGACTTTGGTCCACCTAAGTCTGCCCTGCTCATCAGGCCTAGGGATTGATTCCCTAGGCCGGAGCTCTGCCTTTCTGGTACTTACCCTCTTTCTGGACTTAGGTCCAATCCCTGTTCCCTCCAACTCTACCTTAGGGTAGTCTACCTCTGTTTGTTTCTACATCAGACTCCATCTGATGTAGCCCCTATTCCTTCTGGACCTCTGGATATCCTGTCCTTTGGACATCCCACCCTCCATACCTTTGGATGTCCTACTCTCCATACCTTTGGACATCCTATCCTCCTAACCCTCAGACTTCCTGTCCTCCTTACCTCTGTACATCCTGTCCTTCTGTCCTCCATCCTCTGGACCTCTGGACCTATAGGCCTCCTGTCCTCTAGACCTTTGAACCTCCTATCCTTCCATCCTGTTTCCTGTAGAAGTATTACTTTGCAGTGGGAACTCTCCTGAGCACTTCCTGCATGCCTCAGAACTCTCTCACACTCCTCTGGACTTTGTCAGACCATCATCAGACTTCCTCTGAAATGAAGGGCATATACTCAGGTAAGGGGCACAGCATACAAGCTGAGGCCAAGCCCCTCTGAGTCAGTCTCTCTCTTCACTTTGAGAAAACTGGTTCTTAACAGTAGCTCATTGTAAGATCACCAGCCTCTTTCCCCAATATCTGGCTTAATCACTTTGGTTCTATTGCAAGATGGGAGGATGTATCTTCTTCATGTCTACCATAAGTCTTTCTAATGATGTAATTTATCATTTATCACTTATCAATCACAGGAAATGTCACAGACTATATTGCTCAACACCTTCAAAAGAAGAACTTTTGCATCACAGTGTCAGCTTTATGTGGTGAACAGCTTTAAAACCATTGCCAACACCCCTCCTGTCTCACTATACCTTGCCATGAAACAATATGTTATTATATCAGATGAGGAATGTGAAGTAGTTGAGTGGTCCTACAGAAAACTTCCCAACCCAGCATGGGTGAGATTCAAGCAAGACAAGTACAAGGGTGACATAGCACAAGTCTTCAATTCAGACTTACTGAATGATTTGGTTGCAGTCTTAGTGCCCCACAGGAGTTCCCCTATCCCATGCATCAGGGATCTTGGTTACTACTTGACCAATCTCACCTTCCAAATGGGAATGTGGTCTCTGACATCAATTATGGTGAGGAAGTCATAGGATGCATATACAAGGGAGAAAAATATTACATGGGCCTCCTACTCAAAATTGTTCACTGTGATTACCTAGAACTTATTGTCTGCCCTCAAACTGACAACATTTGACTGCACCTACAATCTGGGTTGGGCCAATTCTTCCTCAAGACAACTGTGGTTATGTTCTCTATGCAGTTCTTGCATATAGGTGATTAGGCTAGGATTGTCAGAGGAGACCTTAGTCCAGAGACCAGTCAGGTTGTCTCAACAGACCATCCTGCTGGGTCTGCTACCTTGGAGTTGACCTTGAGTGGTTGCTGAAAGGAGGTTAACATCTAATTAGTGTCATATCTGCATATCCAGATCTCAGATCTGAACCTTATCTCATCTCAGATCTGATCCACATCTTATCTCTGATCCTATCCACCTCTTATCTCCCTCCAACATCTCGTCATCCAATCTGCCTACTCATCCAGTCCGCTCCACAATTCATCCAAATCCATAACCAGTGCTTGTCTCCTTTTGGTAATCCCCTAACTCTGGTATTTTGGTTATCTGTGTATCCATCCTGCTCCCTGATCTGTTACCTATGCTTCATCTCTGTTTCATTATTTGTGATCCATTTCTACTTACCAATAGACCATCCATATGCTTCGTACATAGCCTTGGACTCTGCTGATTGATCATTCTGTTAGATACCTATAGTATATAACCTCCTGTAACTTTCTGTAGTACCTCAGTTCAAATATCATCTTAGTTCTACTCATTCCTGTCCTCTGGACTTGAGTATCTCTGCTCTCGTCACCCTCTGAGACTTAGGATTGATTCCTATAGTCTATCCGTATCTGCCTCTGTCTCTGACAGTCCATTACTGTTAGTTTCTAGTCTGGACTCATCCAGATTAGCCCTATGATACTTATTCCTCATCTGGAAGTCATCCGGACCTGCTATGCTACTCGTCTGACCTTCCGGATGCGTTAGTCTTGCCTTCCTGAAATAAGGGGCAATACTTGGGTAAGGGGTACAGCGCATGAGCTGAGGCCGAAGCCCTTCGGATCCAGTTATTCCTTGAGTATGACCTTAACAATTAGAGGATGTAGAGTGCATTTTTCAGGTCAGTGACACAGTTTGAGTGATAGCAGGTTTATACTTAGGTGTGGAAGGGCACATCATCCAGATGGTAGATGATACATTTTCATCTTTGTCAGCACCCCTTGAAGGAAGAGGTAAATGTCTCTTGTCATTCTGAAAAAAAATCTTTCTGACACAACACACAGTTAGAAGTTTTCAAGTACTACCTAGATTGTTGCCCTCTTGGTCACACCCTGCAGGCATGACTACCCACTCAGCAATTTTTCAAGCCTCCCCCTAGTATTGAATCTATTCAGATTGGAGATTCCATAAATGTCCTTGTGGGAGAACACATGGGAAAATCTGGCATCATGCACTGGCTCTCTAAGGGAGGGAATTATCTATGGCTCTAGCATGGATCATTGAATATCCCAGTTCCTACCAAAACTGTTTAGCAGATCCCTAACCTCCAGACATTGCAATATATGCAAGACAGCGGTTATGATATTAAGGCTGGAGATGTTGTGAAGGTTGCCTGTGGGCCAGAGTATCTCATGAAAGGAGTCATACAAAGCATTGACTTTCCAAATGCTTGCTTGACCCTACTCACTGAGACTGATCACTCACTAGTCAGTAATGATTCTCCTTAGCTTATGCATGTCTAACTGTGACTTCTAACAGGTTGATGTTCTCATCAGATTCATGATCAAAGTACAAAATGCTAGCTTAGATTCCTTCAAAAAAGACATCAGGCAAGAAGTTTTCATTATCAGTGGTGACTGTAAGGGCTACCAAGCCACACTGTACAGTTTCACACCTGAGACTTACACCATCACTGTCCATGGGCAGCAGCACACCACAATTTAACTCAAGGATGTTGTCACTAGATAAGTAATATGTACATATTTGTGTGAATTAATTTTATGTGTATTTAGGTATGAGATGAGGTTGAATGGTGTCATGCTTGAAGGAACTGAGATGTTGTGTTTCTGTGAGATGTGGAGAAAACTGTACTTGGCCCCACAACCTTGAAGTATCACCCCTCCCCCTGAAAAGGTCCCCTCAAGTTCATCAGCTTCCACATAGATATGCCATCATCCACATGGACTACCTGGACTGGCAGCTCCAAGGATCTTGTCACAGCTGGCAACCCCTCATCTAGCCTCAGTCCCTCACAGGCTGCTGAACCTAACCCCTAGAGTGTCAACATCAATGGCATGCTGGATAGCATTGATACATTGATACTGGAGGAGAGGAACTGAAAGAGAGTGAGTTCTTCAACAGAATTATCACAGCATTCCCACTTATTTCATTCTAGCCCTAATGGCTTAGTTGATGAACAAGGAATTTTCTTCCAAGTTCACTACCTATAATGTGATGTTGAGAGTCTTGCCCTCTTTCATGGGAGGCAGGCTAAACAATTGATTTGTGTTAACAGCTTGTCCTGACCCATTCCTTGTTCTGAATGGACCCACCCCTGAGGGTTGTGTTGTGTTGTGGTATTCTGCTTATCAAATGGTGCAGGTGCTGCAATCAGCACTACCATATACCTACCACAGATCTTCACCCAGCCCCCATGCAGAAAGACCCAACAGTGTATTGTTCTGGATGAAAGTCATTGTGGTTCTATTTACAATGTAGCTAAGTGCCACCTCAAGAAGAACACTGTTGAT